AAAAAAAAAAAAAAAAAAAAAAAAAAAAAAAAAAAAAAAAAAAAAAAAAAAAAAAAAAAAAAAAAAAAAAAAAAAAAAAAAAAAAAAAGAAAAGAAAAGAAAAAGAAAAAGAAAAGAAATAAATACTGGACTATATTTCAGGCTATATACAGAGAATGTACTCTCATATGAAATGTTGGGAGTCACTGACTTAGTCTATCTAGCCTGGCTATCTAGTGCGGCGACAAATAATTCAATAAGCTGTACCGAGGTGTGAGAAAGCGCGACATTACTATGTTCAGCACGAAGCAAGAGGTACACTTACATACGAAGAGTATCGACCATCTTTGCCAGCTCTACGGAATACTTCCCGTCGCTCATCCAGCTGGTCCTGGCAACAATAGAGCATCTCTCGTAGTTCCTCATTCATCTTGAGATTACTCAGGAATGTCTCTGCATTGGCATCATTGCCAACTCGGGAGATGAGAAACACCGCACCAGCTGGCTGCATGGAAAGTTCACTCAGCCTCTGTTTGCAGTTCAAGATAGTCTCCCCAAAACAGTTCTCGTGTTCACCTTCTGGCTGATGTTTCGATCGGATTAGTCTTTCCTCTGACATTTGATGAAGCTAGACATTACTCACACGTCCATCGGTTACGACAATAGTAATCACTGGCTTCGCAGACAGGCCATTTATCACAGGATCGTAAATGAGAGGCTCAACGATTTTGGTTCTGAGCACAGTTCCCAGTCTGGTCAACCCAGAATACTTTATCTTCTTCATTTGACCTTGGATCTCATTAGGAGACAACTTGTTTAAATGCCGATCTTCTGCATTGTTTAGAAACCGGAGATACACGTCCTGTTCGTGTACAGCGCTAGCGATTTCAGCAACACGTTGACAAGTTTCTTCGAGAGCCCGTATGCGAGTGCCCTTGTCTTTTCTCATCGACTTGCTATCGTCTAGTGCACAAGGTTAGCTCGGAATCAGAGTATCTAGGGAAGTGAATCAAATACCGCAAAGTATCACAAAGTCATATAAGGCCATAATGGCCAACTTTGGCGTGGTTTCAGCTTTCAACTCATACTTCTGTGTGAGACTCCTGGCGCGGACAGCTGCACTTTTCACTATCTCTTCCACGTATTGGTCACCCGGTTGATAATACGAACGGAGTTTATTCTCAATGTAACTCCAGACATATTCTCGATACTCTTCCTCAGTCTCGGGCACCTTGGGCTCCAATGAACGTGGCGGTGACGAGTCTTCCGGTTGTCGAATCCCGAGTTGTCGGCTAAATTCCGTGAGAATCTGATCGATAACTTCGGCGACAATCTCATTGATAGTATCCTCCTGCTCGTCGCCGACAGTTGAGGCTTCAGACTCATCGCCCCATTCCGGATCCATAGCTCGTAACCTGGCAATAGAAGCAATGGTTACTGGTATGTCGTGGTGACTAGCGTTGGACTAGGGAAATCTAAGTATGATTTCTGCCTTCGGTCCGACATCTTTAACGTCGCTGCCATAAGGATGCCAGCACACAACTCGATGATAAGGTAGCCATAGACTCTGTGCGCGTGATTGAGGGTTGAGAACCCAATATCGCATAGCCAGCTTCTCCCCTAGTACGGTAATGGTAAGGCGTCACTCATGAAGAGGCTGATTTGTCTTCGGGTGACGAAGAATCTTCTTCGAACAAGTGTCGAAGAAAAGCGACACCTGACAGGTGGGGTCGGGCGGGGCTCTGGCGGGGCACATGTATGACGGTCTTCTGCACGTATAACATTCTCACCCCAACGTTGTGCGGCAACCGCGGAGAAGCAAACCCCCAATCACCGAGATATAGCAAAGTATGGCTTGCAATGAGCACACTTATTCCTGACAACTTACCCTGGGGGCAGCCTAACCAGGCTGTCTTGATGCCTAATGTCTGGAGTGCCGGTCGCTGTTCTCCGAATCTGCCTTCATGTTCGGCTCTATGTGGCCGCTACGAGAACTGAATAAACCATATGCTCTTACCCTTTGTAAATATCCATCTGTGCCTGATTCAGTACTTGCTAAATGGAACATCGTCTTCAAAATTAGATGAAACTCGATGACATCACCATCATCCGCCCGAAACAATACATGCAAGCAACTAGTGCAGTGCTTGACCGTGACCGCCAATCACTGCACTCATACACAGAGATCAGCCTTGTGTACTGCATGAACGATAAAGGGCAAACTCCCGTGGCCCAAACGTGTGGCAACACGTCAGTCATTCTGCTGGCCTCTCCCCAGTTGATACGCAGTGTGCCCATAAAACGTGCAAATGTCTATCTGCGCGTGTCCTGGCTAATGTCCAGTAAGGAAGCCTGTCTGGTAAAAAAAATGCTTTTATCAGATGCCCCTATCTTCACCGCTCCTGATCAGCTGTCTACTCTACTGAGTGCTGTTTGCCACCTCTCTTTTGTTTGTTTCATGTCTTCTTTCATGTCTAATGCAATCACGCCCAAGTACCCTCATCACACGGTTAAACTGTTGACTACCCAGGAGGTCACTGTATACTTCGTGCCCTAAGCACCCTTCCCATTGTATACCTCGGGAAGGAGCAATTCTTTTAGCCTCGTAGAATAGAGATATCTGGCATTATGGCTGAGAAAAGTCAGGGAGATGACCACAGTGAGCCTGTACACGCTGTCTACTCGTTGGGCGTCCTTGCTTCTGCGTATTGCCTCCCTCAACTCTGAGGCTATCGCTATCACGCTTGCTTTCTGAGAAACCACAACTTAACTTTGGGGATTTGTTGCAAAACCTATATAATCCCGATGATGCTCGCATCAACAGTATCAATATCCCATCAGCCAACGACACGATAACCATCACCCTCAGCTCTGCCCCGCTACAACCCTTTAACACAACTGGTTTATCTTTACCGAAGTCACAATGTCCGGAAACCCTGAAAGAAGCAATGGGAAGGCAACACTTGATCTTGTCGACATAACCCTCGAACACATCGATGCCACGGCCAGGCAGGATACTCTCCGAAAACTTTTCCGAAGCCATGTACTCCAAATCTGCGGTCCCGAAAAAGTGAAAGCCTTCAATGAGTCGAATGACAAGTTCAAGCGCCATATGGTGGCATACCTGGCTCAGAAGACGGTCATAGGACTATTTGATAGTATCGCTCAGGAACTGGCCAACGAATTAAAGAAGATATGAACATTTGTTGGGCTTATCAGGCCCACGGCTTCTGAGGTAAGCTAATACCTTCCTTTGCAATTGGCCTTTTAAGCATAGTCTCACTCTATCTAACTGCAAAGCTTTATCGGTCAGTCTCAGCCCGAATGAGGTTCTTTGAAAGGCTGTTGAATGCTTGAATTGGTGGCTTCTGATTATTTTCCGGGATATTTCCAAGTTTTGCTTGATTCATATTGGGTGCGCGAGGACTACTATTGCTTTTTGTGATTTCAGTTTGAACTTGTCTCATAGAGACCCAATCCATTCATGGTAGAACCTCCTAAGAGTCCCTAAAATATCAGTAATTTAGCCAAAATAATAGATAGTCCGGACTGAAGAAACAGATGGTAGGGTAATAGTGAAACAAAGTGGGATTATCTACATTCTCGCCTTCATTACTTTGCAAAGTTCAGCTTGTGGCTTGGCTTATGAGCACCGTTCAAGCTTCTGTGTCTCCATACCATCTGCTTGAACCATCGGTTCTGACCCTTCCACGTACACGCGCACTGCGTGGTACGATAGAGTTCCGATGATCCCGGGGGTTGGAAGCACCCTGGACACCTGTTCATGAAGGTATAGCTGCCCGAACAACACTTAGTAAAGCTGAGTTATACCCACGACTTGCTGGCAATTAGTTGCTGATAAGGACAATTGTTGGAAGGCTTTGCAGCCCAACATTGAGCAGAGGAACATTGAAAAGCGGGCAATTATCCTTGCAAGCTAGTGACAAGCCTCCACTTTCTTCTCATTTCAAGTGCCCTCCATATCCTACAACATTACTCAATCTCCTTAACAACTAGTCATGTGTGCATACGACCCTCAGATATCACTCCGGTGCGCCGACTATCGAGTAGGCTGGATCTGCGCTTTGCCGCTCGAGCTTACAGCAGCGAGAACCATGCTGGACATGGAACATCGGAGGCCACCTGATCTGGAAGTTCTGTCAGACTTTGATACCAATCAGTATCGCTTTGGCCGGATTGGGGGTCATAATGTCGTACTGGCCATCTTACAGGCTGGTGTGTACGGAATTACTCAGGCAGCCCTTGCATCAAGTATGATGAGACGCGTCTTTCCATCCATACAGTTCGCTTTGATGGTGGGCATCGGAGGTGGTGTGCCAAGCGAGTCCCATGACATTCGCTTAGGAGATGTGGTGGTCAGCATGCCGGTTGCAGGATACCCTGGAGTGCTGCAGTACGATTTCGGCAAGTTAGGACCGGACGGCGAGGTGACCGCAACTGGCGCCCTTAACAGGCCAGCACCTAAAGCCTTAGCAGCCATTGCCGCCATGCAGGCAGACTATATGATGAGGGACAGTGGTCTGATGGAGATCACTAGCGGCGCTCTGAGAAAGCACCCCAGGATACGTGCAAAGTTTTCTCATCCAGGAATGGTGAATGATGTGCTATACCGTGCTGATTACGACCATGTCGCTGGCAATAATTGCAGAAACTGCAGTCACCACATGGCCGTGTTTCGGACGCCACGGGAAACGACAGAACCAAATGTTCACTACGGACTTATTGGATCGGGAAATCAAGTCATTAAGAATGGGAAATTTAGGGAACGTCTGAGGGAGAAGCACGGCGTGCTGTGCTTTGAGACGGAAGCAGCGGGAGCTTTGGTGAGTCGCAAGTCTTTCTACATTCCTTCCTTGATTTCCTCTTCTTAACTTGTGGTATCAGGAGGCATTCCGCTGTCTTGTCATTAGGGGAATTTGTGACTATGCAGACTCCCATAAGAACGACATGTGGCAGGGATATGCGGCACTTACGGCAGCTGCATACACAAAAGATCTGTTGCTTCTGATTGAAGGCTCGGTTTCTCCAGAATGTTAGCACCCCATCTACACGCGAATGTGTCTCCTGATTGTTCTCTCCTTCGAGAAAGCTCTAGTAACAATTTTTAGCCACGGCTTCAACCAGCCCTTCCGAGGCTGATATTCCGGAGAACATCAACTTGGGCTTGCCAGCACACGGGCTCAACCAGGGGGCCACAAATTATCCCTCAAACCCTCTAGCTCAAAAACCGCAGGTTTACCAGCAACCAATAGATTCCGAGCCCCCACCGAGATATACACCGTCAGCACATTCTTCTCAGCACCCATCTGTCCCAGTTATGCAGCATCATCAGCAACCCAAGAAAACTGATTCTGAGAAGAAACATGCAGAGCAAAACACTTCCCCTCCAAGACCGTTTGTCTCTCAGTCATCCCAGCCGCCAAATCACTCCCGTGTGCGAAAATACTACGGAAGAATGGTGATTGAAGCAGCTAAAGCCGGTAACATGCCAGTGGTGAAGAAATTTCTCGAGAAGGGAGGCGACCCAAATACTACAACCGATGATTGGGACCTTACTGCGCTACATTATGCTGCAATGGGAAGTCACAACGGATTAACACAGCTGCTACTCAGAGCAGGGGCCAATCCTAATGCACGAGCTAAATATACGAACAACACTCCCCTGTTTGAAGCAGCTTCCAGCGGTCATAGAAAGGTCATTCAATATTTATTACGCCATGGAGCTGACGTCGAGGTCCATTGTCAGCGGGGTAAGACTGCGTTGCATGCAGCTGCCGAGAAAGGGCATGTTGCGTGTGTCGAGCTTCTGGTGCAGAGCAAGGCCGATCCCGACAGCATTGACGAGGATGGACATACACCTTTGGACTTGGCGAAGAAGGAGGACCATTTGGAGATAGTCAAGTACCTGCAGCGGATATAGGGCTTTCTATTCGTTGATTTATTGATTTCGAGAGACGTTTGCAGTCTAGTTCTTTGGTGATGCTGAACCAGAATGAGATTATAAGTTTGATTAATATATCGTGTGACAGAATTATAACAGACAGGTTAATCGTATATTTATCAGTTGTCTATATTTGTAAATGCATCGATCACATGATCAGGCTCCAGATCTCCTTCACGGTCCCAGTTGACGCTTCACTCCGCGTAACCCCAACGCCACCAACTCCATCGACTCCATCATTGTTACCATCATTCATTCTATACATTTGTGTCCTGGCAGCTATGGAGCCTGTCAAAAACCAGAACTCTACTTCCACAGTAGCACTGCCTTCAAAGTCTTGCCGGTCTTCATATCGCTGATTGCTTCATCATATTTCTCAATCGGATAGTTCTTGATGAGTTCCTCGATGGGATAGTTCCCTTTGGTGTTTTGCTCAATGAGGTAGGGCAAGAACTAGACTTTCTTAGTGATGCTGCTTTATCTAATTGTGCAGGAGCATATTTACCTTTTCGGGCTGACCGTCTCCCTCACAGCAACCTACGTACTGGCGACCGAACACCAATTGTGCGAATATATCGACTTTAGCCGTTTTTCCGGGTGTTGGAGCACCAACAGTGGCCAATTTTCCTCGCGTTCCAAGCGCCTGAATAGCTTTCTCAACAACTGCCGGAACGCCGGTACAGTCAACGGCATACTGCACTCCAAGCGGTGGACAAATCGCCTGAATCTGCTTGACAATGTCCTCATCAGATCCGATAATGGCATGTGTCGCCCCAAGCTTCTTCGCAAGGTCTAGCCGATCCTGATTTAAGTCCACGGCGATAATAGTCTTTGCGCCACGTATCTTCCCTGCCATGATAGCACTCATACCCACGGAACCAGCACCGAATACCGCTAGGCTTGACCCTGGCTGCACGTCAAGTGTGTTTATCACTGCCCCTGCTCCAGTCTGGAATCCACAACCTAGCGGTGCGAATCTATCCAAAGGACATTCAGGACCCACTTTCACAACACATGATGCATGCACAATAGCCAAACTAGCGAAAGAACTCTGACCGAAGAAATTTCCACGCAGAGGATCTCCGTTCGGGAAAGACAGGGTAAAGCTCCCATCTAACCTTTGTTGACCGAAGTTGCTCTGCACCCACTGGTTGCAATATGCTGGATGTTCGCTGGTGCATTGCTCGCAATTTCCGCAGAATGCATAGCTCAATAACACCTTGTCGTCTACATGGAGATGTGTGATGCTGCTGCCGGTTTTCACAACGACCCCTGCCCCTAGGTGAAGTCTCAGCTGGTTACGGGCATCCAAGCGGGATTTTCATACCTTCGTGTCCGAATACACATGGAGCAGATGCAGGTAAATTTCCATTCATACAAGACAGATCTGTATGACAGATGCCTGTCGCATGAATTTCGACTAGCACTTCGTCGGCTCTCAGGTCATTAAGACGAATGTTCTCCAGGCTGAGTGGACTATTCACCTCCCTCATCACGAGTGCTGTGGCGGTCGCAGCCATGATTCTGTTTGCTTAATCAGAGCTCAAGGAAAGAAGATTTTCAATGCAAAAGGTATCTTCGCGCATGTTCGGCCAAAGAACGGAAACACCCTTTCTATTTAAGCGTCAGTCCTGCTTAGTATCCTACTACATACCCCAAAATTGGGCTCAATGGGAGACTGCGAGGCATGCCAATCAGCTCGACCTTTGGATTTGCCGTGATCTGAACCCGATCCTTGGTTATATCCGAATACCAGAGATAGGCAGTAAACCCCGGATTCTCAACTGCGGGGAGAGCTGATTAAGGTTTACTAAGCACTCCACTAGTGACCAGATGCGAACTCAATGATTCCCTCTCTTCATTACCAGCTATTGATGAACCGCCAATTACTAGGTCAGTCTCCAGCTAAGCGGACACCTTTTGTGGGGTATTTATCCAACAGGCTGCTATAGTTGCGCTTCCTGTCGTCGATAGAAACCATGCCGGATTATCGGGACCGTTCTCAGCACATCCCCGATGTGACTCCTCACATCCCTTTGGGAAAAGTACGCTCTCATTGGCGAACGTGATAAGAGCGCCGTGGCTCTGTAGGCAGCCAAGCCTTCAGATGCTGATCTGTTCGCAGATCTCCATCCTGCGGGGTTTACGGATTCTCATCTAGCTTTCGGGCGTAAGGCATTGCAACTCCCGATTTGATCTGCCGTCGACTACCTATTAAGCCGAATCTCCATCCGGATGTGTTGAAAGGAAGCTTTTTGATCTGGTGAGTCGCGGGGCCCCGCGAAACCCGTATTTCCTATTCTCGGGTAGTTCCCGGGAACGCCATTGATCCCGACGATCAGAAAGTGCCCATTATTCAGTCCACACTAGTCTACTTGGGCTAGCATCACTTCGTGATGTGCTCCAGCCATCACGCGTCATCACACGGCAAAACGCCTCTCGTATTCGTCGGGACGGCATGCGGTCCATAATCCCCGCTTTATCCCCACCTGGGAGCTGAAGGTGGAGTAGTTTAAGGGATAACCCATCCAGCCAAGATATAAATACGAAGCTACAGATGCTAGCTCAGCTAGCTCATATTTCAAACTTATAAGACAGAGAAATCCTCTCCTCGAGGGAGACAGTCCTACATCAAATTCTTTGCCCGAAGTTATACCGAGATCCTCCACCTCAAAATGGGTTCCCTGGATAAGATTGATTTTACTGTGCGTTCCGTTTACTTCCATCACCACTATAATTTCCTGCCATAGAATGACTATCTAACTTCTTTTACAGACCTTCTATAATACTATCAACAATGAACTCACAACCACATCAGCAACCCGCCACAGCCTCAATCCGGCCACGCGCAAGCCCAATCCACCCGTTCCCGTCTCCACTGCGTCAGATTTGAACCGTGCTGTAGACAGCGCCCGGGCTGCTTTCAAAACATGGTCCAAATTAAGCCCCGCCGATCGCCGTGGCAAGGTTGTCGCCCTAGGTGAAGCCATTGATCTACACGCTGAGGAGCTCACGGCTCTCCTGGTTCAAGAACAAGGGAAGCCGCATGGCCAAGCCGCTATCGAAGTAAACATGTCCGGAACATGGTGCAAACAAATTCCGCAGCCCGAACTCAACGATGAAGTGCTCCAAGATACTGCTGACCAGCGTGTTATCCAGCGCTTCACACCAATGGGTGTGGTCGCAGGCATTGTGCCGTGGAACTTCCCCCTGCTGCTAGCGGTAGGAAAAATCGCCCCTGCAGTTTATACAGGCAACTGTATTATTATTAAACCATCTCCTTTCACACCGTACTGCGCGTTGAAGATTGGGGAGTTGGCGGCGAAAATCTTCCCGCCTGGTGTGGTGCAGGTATTGAGTGACGATGGGAATATTGGGCCGTTGATGACGGCGCATCCGGGAATCAATAAAATTAGCTTCACGGGATCAACGGAGACTGGAAAGAAGATCATGCGCCATTGTGCGGATACCTTGAAATCGGTTACCTTGGAACTAGGAGGAAATGATCCCGCCATTGTTTGCGAGGATGTAGATATTGACGAGGTTGTTCCGCAGGTATGTCTATATTTCCCATTGGGTTACACTGAGGAAGGCTAACTAGATGAATCAGCTTGCTACATTGAGCTTCCTTGTTTCGGCACAGGTCTGCATGATGATCAAGCGTCTCTACGTCCACGAAAAGATCTACGACAAATTCCTCGAGGCCTTTGTCAACTTCACTAAAAACCTGAAGGTCGGCAATGGCACTGAGCCCGATGTATTTTTCGGGCCTGTGCAGAATGAAATGCAATACGGGAAGCTCAAGGACCTCTTCTCTTCCATTCAAACAGAGAACCTTAAGCCCGCTCTAGGAGGATCTATCACTGAATCTGAGGGATACTTTGTTACCCCTACTATCATCGACAATCCTCCCGACAATGCCAGAGTGGTGCAAGAGGAGCCATTTGGTCCTATTCTCCCGTTGATGAAGTGGTCCTATGAAGACGAGGTTATTGCTCGCGCCAATGACACCGATACAGGCCTGGGTGCCTCGGTTTGGAGCAAGGATGTGGAGCGTGCGCAACGTATTGGTACTCAGTTGGAGTCGGGATCAGTGTGGATCAATTCACACTTCCAGGTTGCTCCGAATATTCCCTTTGGGGGTATGAAGGCGAGTGGCAACGGTCGCGAATGGGGTCTCGAGGGGTTGAAGAGTTATACCCAGTCTCAAATGTTGTGGGTGAAGAAGGCTTGATGATTTAAGTGGTTGTTGTCCGCACTTAATTAGACCACTATGAACATTGAAATAAATGTTATTTCAAGGGATTTCCATGTCAAAGACTACGTAGAGGACTCAGGCATATTGAATGGTAAAATATATTCGTCACTATCGTATCTTAGACAATGAACCTAGTACCGAATGTTACTGCCTCTCGCAGTAACATTCTGCTCAATACTACTACGCTCAAATCATCCAAATCATAACATTTCATCATCCACCCAAATCAACACCTCGAGCAAAACACTTACTGACCCAGGATGCTAGCCAACGACTTACTCCCCTCCTCAGGCTCCCCCTTATCATCCGTCGGAATCTCCTGCGACGCAAACGCCAAAAACACCGCCTCCCAATGCCCATCCTCGAAACTAAACAACAACGCCCCATCCTCATAAATTCCATTCTCATATGACGGCGCACTCCCCTGATTCATATGAACATCATGGATCCCTGACCCATACGACGACCCAAAGATATACACCGTCGCTTTCTTACTGATCGCATCATTGAGAATAGGCTCCAATGCCTCGAGCACAGCATTGTGCGGCCCGGTGTCGGCCTCAGAGAGGACCGCACCCGACTCGATATTCACAAGACCCTTTGTGCGGATGAAGTCCAAACCCTTCAGCTTGGAGGAGGATTCTTGGTGTCGACGACTGCGGTGGGAATAGGATTTGAGGAGGTGGAAGCCCTCATCGAGATTAGAAAGCTGCTCGGTGATCGGGTGGCTGAAGCTCCTGTCGAACCAGTATACGAGACGAGAGTCTTTACCGGTGGATTTGACGTTGATGGCGGCTTCGTAGTCCTTGCTGGAGGAGGAATCGTCTTTGAAGTAGAGGTAGATGTGAGGGGACTTGGGATCTTCTTCTTCGGTTTGGGCGGTGTAGCGGGTTGGTTGGGCGATCCAGACGCCGTAGTGAGGGATGGTCATTTTGTGAGGGTTGATAAAGGATATTGACTGTTGGGGGTACTTTATGGGAAAGTTCTGATATGATCAGATTCAATTACTTATTGTTCAACAAATAAAGATCAATGATAGCAAAGGGGAAACACAACCATTCCCCTCTTTATACTACTTACCTACAGTACCACCCCACCACTATCACCCCCGATTCATCATCACGCCAGCCACAATTCACTCACCAATAGATAAGCCAAGTACAAAATCGACACATCCAACAAACAAAACCAACTCCGCCGATCGGCCAACCACCCAAATCCAAGCGATAAGCCAAGCGGGAGACTGGTTTTCCCCACGTGCAGTCACTGCCGACCGATGGCGGCGACGGGATGCCCGTCCCGCCAACCAACCAGCCCGACCCATTCAATGCTTAGCCCCCGCTGACCCGCTATTGCTATCGTCACCTCTTCGATCTGCAGATAACTCATTGGAAGTTGGCATCGCTTAATCTTGGTTTGGGGATCGGCGTTGGCTGGCTAGCTGAGTATGTACATGCACTTGGACTTAACTTGACAAGTGTAGAAGGTGGGGTGACGTAGTGCGTCATTTCGAAGTGCGGTCTAGACTGGATACTAGGCCATTGCTAAATAAGAGTGTACTGGGCGTATACAGGTAGGTAAGATATGGGACGATCAAAATGTGTCAGGTCTATGTGTCAGGCCACTCGTCATATTGGTGGCGTTGGGGTTGACGATATGCTGTGCTACAATTAGTGTCTTGTGGGTTGAGTTACTGATGAGGTTGAAGCTTGCAATTGAAGTGGTTTTTGACTTCCCCGCGCTGGAATTACTTGCTTGGTTTTTGTGGCGCGTTGGCGACGTCATGGGCTATAGTGGACGTTATTAAGATATAGTTCATCGACTTAAGAGGTACTTTATATTCTGTTGATGATGATCTTATAATATAGTGTATTCTATATGAATTGGAGATACCTGTTCAAGGTTAAGCTACAATACCAATTACCGACATCTACTAAGTCTAAACTGCCTGCTCTCGAATGTGGGCCGTATTGTGTTATGCTATTTGCTACTTTTGACACATTGAGGGGTAATACTTCAAAGGTGAGGATAATGTGACAGCCTCGAAAAATTGGTCTGGGTCTACCACCGTGCTGAAACAGTATCGGTAATTTTGGGTTTGCCTGTGCGGAAATGACAAGCGTCACCTAGGTGTTACAGTGACTTGGGAGGAACGAACATTTGTATGGGCCTAATCACATAGTGGCTTGGCTAAATGGTCTAAGACCCGCTCAAATATGCGATAATCAGTTGTATCAGGAGATTGGTTTACGAAAAGCCTAGACTTCCTGCTCAGAGAATGGCCACTGTTTTCAAGGTTCTTCAAGGCCAGTTCAAAAATCACTACCAGAACCAGTATGCAGGCATATCTTCGTATCGTTCAGTTTCATTGATTAAATGTGTCTTGCTGGAATAGGATAAATAATCCTATATACGATCGCATAATCCTACACATCCCAATTCATACTCTCCAAAACCGTCTCGGTATACGCCCAAATCAACGACGAAAAATCCGAGCAAAGCGTCAACCCAGTAAAATACGTACTCCTCCTCCCCTGCAACGCATACAACTTGCGATAAAATCCGTTACGAATCTCCTCCGGCGATACCATCAGCGTCTCCGGCGAACTATCCCCAAACACCACGATTTGAGGATCCTGAATCGGGTACGTCCCCTTTGCCTTCATCCGCGCAAAATCCGCCGCTAGAAGGTCTCTCGCATTTTCCTCGGTGAAGTCCATATCGCCTACTAACTTGCTAGTTGAATACCCTGATGCTCCCATATACTGCAGCAGGAAATCAAATGGCATGCGAGGTAAATACCCCAGTCCATTAGTCGGGTCTGTATTGGTGACCCACAGCTTGTCCGGGATACCGGTATTATTCACCACGGCAACGTAGTATGTCCTCCAGAACCATTTTTGGATTAGTTCCGTTTCTGTTCCATCCAAATCGAAGCCTTGGAGCTTTTTCATGAGCGGAGGGAAGGTAATGAGGAGGTTTCTGGCTTGAATGAGCCGACGAGTGCCGTTCGCATGTTGAACTGTTACCTCCACACCGGAATCGGACCGGTTTGTTGCGATCACGTTTGTCTGGAACAGCACATCCGAACCAAGTATCTCCCTCGCTTGTCTGTAAAGCTGGTACATGCCGTTCTTGGGTGTGATATATCCATGAATGAGAGCGTCAACGTGCGGGACCCCGAAATTCTGGATCGCATAGAGGGTGGGCATATCGAGCAGATTTCCTACATTCTGAGAAAAGAGAAATACCAACTGCAGAGCGGCTTCGAGGGAATGTTCCTGGATGAATTCACGGAATGGGCGGAGAAGGTCTTCTGGTACTGGGTCTGGGAGGTCGTACACCCCTCTTGTGAGAAACGTCCAGTGCTTTATGGATGAGCGGTAAAGAAACGTTGATACGATGGCTTGCAAGATTCCTGCTGCGGGGTTCACGCGTTCACCTGTCGAGAAGTCGACAAAGTCAGTTCGTTTGTTCAGTGGGAGTAGTGGCTTCCAGTCTACTCCGAGTCGGAGGAAATAGTTGCGGGAGAGCTCGTTGTTGAAGACGCCTTCGACGCCGTAGTCGACGTAGTTGCCATCTGGCAGGTATAATGTCGCTGCGTGCCCTCCTAGCCTGTTGTTGGGCTCTATTACTACCACGTGCTTCCCTGCGTCTTTGAGTTGGATGGCGCTGTACGTCCCTGAGCTTCCACCTCCGAGGATGCAAATGTCGCAGGTTATTGTCTCCAGAGAGTGGTGGGTTGATGAGGGAAGGGCAACCGCTGGTAGTAAGCCTACGAGGGTATAGAATAAGCTTATAAAGTGGACCATCAGAGACGAATGATAATATAATAATGGTATACAGTGAGTGCTTCTGTGACTGGCTAGTACATTTAGTCGGCCACCTCAAATGGAATAATGGCTGAGTTCGTGTGCTTCAGCACTGTCAGGCTTTTAATATGCTTACTTATACGCCGGTTTGAAGAATAGCCCAGTTGGATAGTATGAGATGATACATCCCGGCATCCTCATGATAAACAGGGAATCATATGCTGCGCTCATGAGATTTCCTTGGGAGTGGAGTGCGCCAGCGTGCCTGGTTCCTGCATCTATCTGTTTGTGGATACTGTTCCTACGAAGAAGACACCTCCACCTGACTTCAGCCTCGACACGGTTATCTTACTTCGCTAGGTGATAATGAGTCTATTGTGAGATTGCGGGTTTTTACCGCAACTGCGGGGCAGGGATGGGGTTGTCTGTACAACATCGACGTACATCTGATCTCTTACTTCAGGTATATGACCGGATTGGCATCACATGAATACCCTGTTAGTATCATGAACTTGTGACAGTATCTTCATTCGTGGGACTTCTATCTCAACCTCGGGGTAACCTGTTACTAATTACATCTCATATGCCAGAGTCTAAACTATGCATCAAACAAACAATCTATTCAGCCTCTCCCTCCAGCGCAGCAATCAATTCCCCAAACGCAGCCTTAATCCCCTCCCTCTCCCCAGCCCAATACCCTCCCTCACCATTCAGTCCCAGATCCTCCCCCTTAGCGGCCCTCTTAACTTCCTCGATCTCCGGAAACCTCAGCTCGACCATCCTCTCCAACGGCCTCATCCTCACCCCCTGCAACACCTGCCTCAACTGCGCCGCCGCCTTCCCGCCCCCATGCCCCCCATAGCTCACCACCAACGCCGCCTTCCCCTTCCACTCATGGAACAAGTAATCAATCGCATTCTTCACACTCGCGGGATACCCCCAGTTATATTGCGGTGTGACGAAAATAAACGCTTCGTGGCGCGATATCTCCCGTGACCAGGCCTTTGTGTGCTCGTGCTCGTACTCGTCCGCTGAGCTGATGAATGATGGCATCCCCGACTCATTGTAGAGTGGAAGGTTCCATTTTGCTAGGTCAATGGTCGTAATTGTGGCTGTTTCGGGGGGGTAGGATTCACGAATAGTATTGTGAATGAAGGTGGCGATTTGAGGGCCTGCGCGTGGAGTGCGTTGGCTGCAGATTATGAGGCCGATAGAGGGAGGCATGATGATCAATTCCAATTCCTTCTCCTTTGGTTGAGGTGAGTGGACTTTTTTGTTTCTCTGTGTTACGTTTGTGGTACAGTCTACGAGGTATGTGGTTATTTATGTGTTTAAAGACTGTTTGGTATGTATGGTTCTGGCTGTCGGATAAGCAATGTCCGAAGGCCGAGGCCGAATGCCGCTTGCTGATGTGAGGTGAGTCAATGTTGTGGGTGTTGATTGATAATGCTCTTTGCTGGTGTGAGTTTTACTGCGCCTGACCGAGTGCATTTCGCTGAATTAATGCAATTTTGGGTGTGAATGGCTTGCAGATTCTTCGACGTGATGCCGAGCGTGGCGAATCACTGTAGTTTCTCCGTAGACTGATTGCACAGATATGGTGCAGCACGTGTCTCTTACCGGGCTGGGTATCCTAGCTATCCTACACAGCGGGTACGCCAAACAATCCATACCAGCAAAACTTTGACATAGATATAGAAAAAAAAAAAGAAGCAACTCCTCTAGCCCAACGCGGGGCTCGAACCCGCAGCCTTGAGATTAAGAGTCTCACGCTCTACCGATTGAGCTAGCCGGGCAAAGGGAAAGAGGAAGTTGGACAGCCCAACGCGGGGCTCGAACCCGCAGCCTTGAGATTAAGAGTCTCACGCTCTACCGATTGAGCTAGCCGGGCTGGCTTGGTGATTGCTGCTTCCTTTTAGTGCTACAGAAACCAGAGCTAACGAATAGCCGCTCTGGGTATAGTGTCTTTTCCATGTCATGTGACTTGAATTTGGATGCTTCGTGTACAACGTTTGTTACTGTCATACACTTGGTTTCAGGTGAGTCTGTGACTTTAGAATCAGTTGTTTTGCTGGAGATGTTTGGAAGGGCTATTTTCGTGGAGTAGTGATGGTGTGCCTGTTCCACTCCGATGTGTTAAGATATATATTGTGCGGATAGAACGCATCCCGGGCTATTTCGCAGGAGAGAAGCAGTCTACAAGTTTTAACAACAACAATTATTACTACCAGCTACAATGCGCCTACTCACACAAAAATGCCAACAGCAACACCAAAAGAGATACTCTACCGACAGGAAAGACCACGTGCTACCATGAATTGCCCCAGTTTTAGTAGATGCATACATTCACACACCCCTGTAGATATCGATCTGATATGATCTAGACAGACCAATGAGAGGCGCCCGCCGACCGAGATGTCGAAAGTATCGCGAAAATCCACTCCTACCACTCGTCCAATGAAGACGCGCTGCTGTGACGCGTAGATGAGAGAGTATTCACTGTTTAACGATTGCGAGGAGATACTGCGTGGTGTTGAATTAATTGCCTGAACCCTCGGATACACCGGGTAGGTGCTGCGATACGCGGGACATACTATGACCTGCCTATACTGCTAGTGACCAACGCACCGTGCCAATACCATGGAAGGTCTACAGTAGCGTCGAGTCTGCAACCCATTGTCTATGTGGTGTTTTCCATTCCCTCCAAAAAAGGTGAGAGTTGCTTCAACATTATGTCCGACCCCATATTAGAAATCTGCCAACCCGGACTAGCACCGTGACAGTACACTAAAACCCATACCTTGCCACTCTTGTTGCCAGAACACCCACAAAGCACAAAGGTCAGCCAACTATCACTAAGGTCTGGATTCCAATGCACAACATACTCAGAACAGACTAGGTTCGAATTTAGTCAAGCGCAGCGATATATGCCGGCATAAAAGTGCAGAGTGTCAATCTTGAGAAGTCTTGCACCACGAGTGAGCACTAGTTCAATCCAGGAGACTTGATTGGTCTCAGAAGGCCTCCCTCATCATGAGTCATGTTGCACTCATTCCAGATCCTGCACCGCCTCTCCACCAGGTGGGTCGCGGATATTCCACTTCCGGCAATCGTATAGACACCAAATTTGTATAAACGAGGAAGAAATCCTGAACCAACGCAGTTTCAATCCAAGGCACCCTCGCAGAGCGAGAATTCAAGACAGAACCAACACACCAACATAGAACCAAACACAAGTGATCAATGCCACTAGTACAAACCACCACATCATCAGATCACCACAATAAGATGATATATTCCAGCAGACAATACCCCGTACCAGCAGGGGTACACATAATCCCAGAACACCTCCTGGACCTCCGCTCAGACTCCGAAGTCGACCATGACCTCCTCCAACCCCGACCCGTCACAGACGAGAAGAATATTTGGCTTTTCTGGCACAGCGGCTACTCCACCATGCACCCATATACCAAGCGAAACGTGCGCGCATGGCACCGGCGCTTCTCCAAAGCCGGCTGGATTGTGCGTGTCGTCGATCGCCATCCGTCCTCCCCGCTCAACATAGCCAACTTTATCGACGTCAATGATTCGAACAACTTTCCTCAAGCATTCGCCGAAGGCACCATCAGTGGCACCTACGCAAAGCAGCACACATCCGATCTCGTTCGCCTACCTCTACTTCTCAAGTACGGTGGTATCTATGCCGACGTTGGACTAATCCAGATCGGCGACGTGGATCGACTGTGGCGCGAGACGGTCGGAAATCCCGACTCGCGGTTCGAGGTTCTCTCCTACAATGCTGGTGATGTCAACGAGCGCAGTCTCACCAACTACTTTCTCATGTCGAGGCGTGATAATCCGCTATTCGAGCGATGCCACCGTCTACTGTTGAAGTTATGGGAGGGAAGTACGAGTACGGAAGGAATGCATCAAAGCCCGCTGTTGAAGGATTTGCCGCTCCTCACTGGAACCGGTAATATGACAGAGCAGCAGTGCAGAGAGCTGACGGACTATATTATCCAGGGGCAGGTGATGACTCTGGTTATGGGGTTAGTGGATAAAGAAGATAACTGGGATGGACCGAAATATGTTGCGGAACATGTCTATGGCATTGAGTTCATGCAGGGATCGCAGCTGATCAATGACATGACTGCATGGGACGGTCGGAAGGCGTTCGAGCTCATGTCATTGTCCCTTCCCAAGGAGGGCGAGGAGGAAACCGCAGAGCAGAAGCAGGCTAGGGAGATCGTCGAGGCTTGCCTGAAGAAAAGTTTCGGGTTCAAGCTCGCGCACGGATATATTTTGGAGGTAATGAATGTGACACTCGGGTCGCTGTGGAGGGAACATGAGGGATCAGATAATGTGCCCGGGACGTATGCGCATTGGCTCAGGCATGCAATCGTGCACTGGAGTCAGGATGCGCTTCCGCCGACACAGCCGTACACGGCACTTGAGCCGATTAAGAGGGGACCGCTATTGCGCGCAGAGTAAATAGACACCATGATACCATTATAGATAGCATGTACTAGACTCACAATGCATAGACCATCCTCACCTCCGAAACAAAGAATGACTGCATGGCCTATACTTCCCAAATTGGTTAGCACACACCACGCGCCACACTCACGTGCCAAAACTATCAGCATCAGCCATACATTACCTAAGCATCACGACCTATCAAACAAACAAGGCCACCTAGACCATCCATACATACAAAGCACAAGCACGTCACCACCATCCCTCATAACCCCCCAACGCAACCATGCTATCCGGAATCCAAAATGTACGGCAAACAGCTATCCAGCTGCTCAACTTCGGGCTGGTCCTGAGTACTGCATTCATGGTACGATATTTTTCACTTCTTTCCATTACCGATCATCGCAAAGAAAGATTCAGCATGACAAGATCAATTGAATTCATGGCACTAACACCTGGAAATCTATAGATGTGGAAAGGCCTCTCGGTTCTCACCAACTCCCCAAGCCCGATAGTAGTCGTCCTCAGTGGCTCCATGGAGCCCGCCTTCCAGCGCGGAGATCTCCTCTTCCTCCGGAATACGCAACCTACACTGAATGTCGGAGAGATCGTGGTGTATCAGGTGAAGGATAAGGATATCCCGATTGTGCATAGAGTGGTGAGGCAGTTTGGTGAGGGGTGAGTGTACCCACCTTGGACATAAAATCGGGAAGAAGGTAGCGAGTGCAGTAGCTAATCTGGTTGCGGTTGAATCCTGCAGGTCCGAAGCCAAACTCCTCACGAAAGGCGACAACAATATCGCGGATGATACAGAACTCTATGCGCGCGGACAAGATTACCTTGATCGGGACGATGTTGTGGGAAGCGTGTTTGGGTACATTCCATTCGTGGGGTACGTGACGATTCTTCTGTCGGAGCATCCGTGGTTGAAGACGGTCATGTTGGGGGTTATGGGGTTGTTGGTGCTTTTGCAAAGGGAATAATGGGTCAGGAGTTAATTTTTCTGGATTCTTTCTGCCTTGTTTGTTGTCAGGGTCATTTTGGGTTTTGGGTCAGCTGGGTTAATAAATGCATATTGGGTTGCGGTTCATTTAGGTGCTATTGTGTTGTAGAGGTGGTCATAAGTTTGTGGTGTTGGATTGTGTTCGGTTGGAGGCAGAAGTAGCTGGATAGACTGCGGTCGTGGAGCTGTGACTGGTCAATGACGCGATCGAGTATAGAACGGAGCTACTGAGTATGCTCTGTCGGGGTTCCCGCGATGATTTGGTCAAGTTGAGTTTCATCTGCATCAGACCTCGGTTGGCAGCAGGAGATCAATGACATGCTTGACTGCTAACAGCTGTAGATCAGAAACGCTAACTATGGCTGTTCACATGATATCATGTGGTCGCTAGTCTAGAAGACATTGGCAACATTCACCTGCATATGACACCGTATAAAAACCCGGCACCTCAGGAAACTAAAACTGCTTTACACTAGACTAAGACGTGAGTAACCACCCGATTCATGATAGCAGTGACCTCTAACTTCTGCCTAGTCTCGCCATAAATATCTCATCCGCTGAATAACAGCCTTTCTCAAACCTCGCAGTGGCCACTGAAACATGCCCCGACCGGACACACTCGGAACCAGATTCCCTCATCCGGGCCTGCTCACCTTCCAAAGTCAATTCAAGCTGCACAGCTCACTCCAGGTTTCTACATGAGGCAATATGCTGAAGCTCATCTTGCCACAGCGGAAGTTTAAGCTTGTATATCCATAGAGTGAGAGGCAGAGAATCAGGTTTCCGACTATCTCATGACGACTGACCTAAGGTATATGATCAGTATACCAATGACTCTCGATAGTAGTGTGCACCATACTGCGTAATCGCCGAGTCTAGACGTCTAGCCCAGTTTACGCTAGTCCATCAGTTGCAACAGGCAAGACACTAGCCTAGTGCCATCCAACTCGCAGCGGTTTACTCTTCGCCACACCTCAAGTTTTCCTGCCGGCCATTAATCCTGGCCACAAACTCCATGGCTAAACTCAATTGCAAAGTGTGCGCCTCGCAAGCAGGATCGGTTCGCCTCGAGCGCCAATCCAGTTTGAATACCCGTGGACGTCAACCAAACACACACAGAATGTGGAGGGAGCAATACTGAAGCAGGTTAGCAGCAATCATTAGAATTGCCGCACAAATGCCATGCATTGGCACAAATTATGTGTCTGATCCACCTACTCTTTCTGGGATATACAAACGACGCTAAATGTGTCCAGATCTACTTCCTCCCCACCCACAAGCAGAACAACAGACCCTCGTGAAAGAAAATTCTTTGACCCCGTTGGAAGGACACCGCCCATGGAATTCTCGGCAGCAACATGCTGGGTCGCCAGGAACAGGGCGCACAGGGCGACGCCCTCAAACGTGTGCTGCCCTGCCAAGGAGCAGCTGCGTTGCCATTCTGAGAATTCCAAGCTGTGGACCCACGGTTCAGCCTCGCCCAATAGCCGCTGACTGTGCATGGATTTTGTAGGCGATGTTTTGCTATTGGTCGGGGCGGATGTTCCCCTGGACCGGCTACATTTTTGGCCAATGGGCGTTGTTGTTGCGCTTGAAAGCGGAACCACTGCTTGCGTGCATTGGGTTCGAGCCCCTGGCCCAGAGATGTATAACCATGGTTGATGGGGACAATTCGTGGTTTGATTATTTTTGCGGTTTCTTCTTTTGTGGGCTTTATTCCTGTCTTGGCTGTGAGGTCTTTGTGTGCTGCTGGTGAGTTGAGGCTGGATAGGGGCTGGACGGTTGTAGAGGCAGGTTGCTGGTGTCGGAGGTGAGTGAGTAATAGGAGGGAAGCAAAGACCAGTTGGACAGCAAACAGATACGCTTGGCCTAACCACTGTCATCTAAAATAGTGCGTACTAACAGCTCCACCACGCTATAGAAAACCCAGTTTTCTGAGCAGTTTGTTGTCCACTCCACTCGCATTGGCGTTTTCTTTGATCCCTTGGCCCGCTTGGCTTCCGACTAAACACACACATTCTCATGCATCAGCCATGTGGCCGTTGAATCTGAAACAGCCTAGTTCTTACACACATACAATGGAAGTAACAGCCTCAAGCCACTTTTTGAGGCATGAATCGACGGCAGTGACACGCCCTTGGAACAGCCGACACCTTTGGCTGAGTTTTCAAAGGACTCTTCTCACTGTCACAAACCTATTCTCCCCACCACCAAGAAACCCTAATCCACTCCTCCACCGTCCCCAGTCCAGATTCATGGCAGTGGATGCCTCTAAACTTCATCCCAAGCCAATGCCCAGCCAATGGGATTACTTTGCTTGCTCTGACTTCCACAATGGCTTGTAAACCCTCCACCGCGTCAACCCACCCCCACTACTTCAATCCATGGCATCCAGGCTGACGCACCCCATCCCCTCCCTGTTCTGGACGCATCCATTATTCCCAGTTCCAGAAGAGAGACAGCCATGGCACGCTCTCCAGCACAGGTATATAGACCTCGTCTTCTTCTTCTTCCTCATCCATCTTTTCTCTGATCATTCACGACATTGTGATTCCCAACTACCACACAGTCTTTACATACCAAGACTCCGTCGTACTCTTTCGATAGGTGTACGACATCCATTCATTACATTCACACTTTCGTTGTAACAAACACGCACTCGCTTGACGCGACACATTCTCTCTCCACACACACACTCTCTTAAAAGAACAAGAAAGATGTACTTCAGCACCCCTCTCCTGCTGCTGGCAGCTGCTCTCCCCAGCGCTCTCAGCCAGCCGACCCCTACCAAGCCCCAAGGCCACTCCCGTCGCCAAATCGACATCTCGGCCTCTGCCTCCATCTCCGTCTCCGCCCCCTCCTCCAGCTCCAGCTCCAGTTCCACCAGCAGCGCCAGCTCCTCCGACTGGACCTCCACCCCCAGTGATGGCGACTACTCGACCTCGGGCTTTGGCTCCAGCACCTCGGCCTATGGCAGCGGCGACACCTACGTCGGCAACGTCGGCAACCCCTGGGGAAGCAACATGGTCGAGGTGTCTGCCTCCGAGGCCTCCAACTACAAGTACGTCATGCAGGTGACCGGCCAGAACACTGAGGACTGGACCGTTGTCTTCTGGAACAAGTACGGCCCCGACGGCAAGATGGACGGCTGGTACGGATACTCTGCTCTCTCGTTCACCCTGTCCCCTGGTGACACCAAGTACGTTGCCTTTGATGAGGACACCCAGGGTGGATTTGGCGCTGCTCAGGGCTCTTCCCTCCCCACTGGTAGCAGCGGCGGGTATGCTTGCACCTGGGGTGAATTCGACTTCGGATCCACGGCCAATAACGACTGGTCTGGATTTGATGTCAGTGCTATCCAGGCTCAGGATAATGATATGAGCGTCCAGGGCATGCAGATCTGTGATGCGCTGGGCTCAACTTGCTCCAGTATGACGGCTGATGCTGCCGAGGTTGATAATGCTTATACTTCTGCTGAGACGGACGAGGGTGGTATTGGTGGAAACCTTTCTGCTGGGCCTGTTAGATTGGCTGTTGTTATTGACTACAGTGGTTGATAGGTTTATAGACTAGAAATGGAGTGATGGGTTTTTATGTTTCCTATACGTGGAGTGAGTTGTAGTGAGGCGTAGGGTTTACGATTTATTTGTAGATATGGCTTCAGGCTTATCTTGTGGCTGATTATGGCGGATGGCGGATGGCGGATGGCTGATCACGACTTCTTCCGCCATGGCTACAGCTAATAACGCCACGATCTAGCGGTCGATCATGTCGATCTTGATGATCTTTTAACGACTTCACCTATATCAAGACAGAGTATTCTTCGATTGTTCCTTGTCAAATATCGTGAGCCAAGCATGTAGTGTACAAAGTAGTGAGCCAGACTGGACTTAAACTTTCCTTCAAGGCACTCCTGGCTCGCTCCCAACATAGGGGATAACACCAGCTCCAACTCACAGTATAATATTTTGCGACCTATCCACGAAAATAGTAGACAACCAAGAACAGCTGTCAATAAGTAGCAAAGAACTCAGTAACACCTGCTGGGGGATACAACCCCTCAAGTACTTCTTCCATGTTAGGCCGACCCGCACCAACAATCATCACCGATTATCACAACCAAACAACACCTTCACCCCCACGTCTACCACTAACCACTTTCACCACCACTACTCCTATACGTGAATAAATCCCTCAACGACACCCCCAAGAAACAAGTATCTACCCTCACCAACCACCCATCTACCACCCACGCCCTCAAGCCCCGGTCGGCCACTCACTTCCCACTAACCTAGAAACCTATCCAAATCCCACCCCCGACACTCTAGACCATTCCATCACTACGTACATATCCCCGCCAGCACAGCATTTCAGGATCCAGGATCCAGAAGAAGACCCTAGTCCATCACATGATAGCCGACAACTTCCGCCGCCACCCTGCAGAATAGCAACTCGTATTTCCCCGAGTACTCTCCGCTATCTTTCTTCAGACAAGAATCGTGGGAGATTGTCACGGAGTCCCCACGGAATCCCGTGCAGACATTATCAGGGGTTTGGAAGTTGAGATAAACACATGCATTTGCATTGCATCGTATGGTGTCGGGAAATGCAAAGTTTTTTGAAGATTAATTCTTATGAAGGGCGGGGGGGGGGGGGGGGGGGGGGGGGGGGGGGGGGGGGGGGGGAGGGGGGGGGGTGGGGGGGGGGGGGGGGGGGGGGGGGGGGTATAAAGAAGATCGGAGAACCGATGGAGTATTGACTGGGTATGCGATGAAGACACTATTCAGCTATAGTATATATTCTTACGTAGATGGAAAGGTACCGGATGGGATATCCGGAGGGCTGATAGAACAATCTCGGCTAGGAAAGGAAAGTTTGAATGAACCAACTATAATTAGTTGATTAGTATAGGATGATATAGTAATAGTGCAAATAAACCCCATGTCCTGTCCTAGCGCTACTCCCTTCCCTGGCCAAGCTGCAGAAAATCAGCCCAGTCGTGCCTAGATTGAATGACCGGGTTGGTTCATGACATGACCCTTGTCAGTGACACTATCAATAATATCCCTGTTATGCAAGAATAGCATTGTTCGAAGAAACCAATAATCACTCTATTTTATTATTGCTCTCGGTAGGAGATAAATATGCATATCCGGCGTATACCGCGTATAACCAACCCATGCCATGTCATGACTTGTCCAATTTGTCTGTTGTATGTACCTTGCATCTCCGATGAGATGAATTCCAGGATTATGACTGGATGATTAGAGTATAATTATGATATTGTTGCATGGGTTATGAATCGAGTCAGGGGTTCAAGCGGGTTTTCCGACGTTCCGCTTAGTTGGCTAGTCAGGAAGGATTTCGCCGGTATCCTACGGAGTACCTTGTACATATCTTCTGATTGTCAGTGATACTACCTGCGTAGTTGCCACTACTTATCTTGCATAATGTTCCTATCGGTTATACATCGGGGATTGATAAGGAGGGACTGAACTTGTTTGCAGCTGTAGTGGGTACTCTGTACTACTTACGGCTCCATATGGACAGATTCCTGTCGTGTGCTTGGTTTTACACCGCAGCTGCCTAGTATGCCTAGTACTCTGTCGCAATCCGGAGAAGCTCCTAGAAGGGGAAGGTCCATTTCCGAGCTGGAGTTGGAGCTGGGGCCCATCTCGGAGCTAAGTTTGTATGTATCTACGGAGCTAACTTCAGGACGAAACTGGACAACACAATTGGATTGTGCAAAGTACAATGTGCAACGGAGGAATTGGGATCAGCAAGAAACAGATAGAAGATACAAGATACTACTACTCGATTCTAAACACATCAAACCAATCAATCGTAAGACTGGGTTAATTTGGGTGCCTGCAGAAATCAGCTGCAACTGCAAACCCGGAGATAAATTCGCCGAAGCGGATAAGCATTAGAATAACAAGCGAATGGCAATATTCGTCAAGGAGTTTAAGCTCGATCAAGAAGGGATCAGCCGGACGGATCCCGCCGTTAGTTATAATTGGATGGATTATTGAGTTCCCCACACCAACAATCCTTTTGTGGCATTGTCTGACTCTTGTATTGGATCTGATTGGTTGCTTACCTTGTCACCGGCTTTATCTCTGCAGAATTAGACTCCTGCTTTTAATCTATTCTCTATACCACTAACCCTCATCGTTGTTGGTGCTGTGCCCGATTCGGATTCCCCCTCGCGCCTCGTCCGTCATGATTCATTTCAACTCGATCTCCACTGCCCGTGCAGACTTCAACTGCCAATATATCGCGAGAAACATGTTACATCCTATTTCGGCCAAGACACGCCGGCTCAAGCCTCGATTTGTCTAGTCAGCTTTGTTCGTACTCGGTCTTGTTGTTAGCCAGCTAGCTAGCCAGCCAGCCAGCAGTATCCCAGATACTACGGAGTAAGTAGATGCTAAGTACTGAGTTAGTACGATTCCTCTCAACCCTCCCTTATCAAACCCCTGCTGGCCAATTGATGACTTTCCCCGCACACCTTTCCTCTCCCCTTTCTCAATCCATCTAGTATAGTACTACTAACCTTGTACTATACTCTTTCCATCCCAACCTGCGCCCCTCCCCTAATTGCTTATCATTCGCCCACAAGGCTTGGACGAAGCTTGTTGTGCCTGCGCCGGTGCCGCTTCCCTCCCCTCCTCCCCTGCCTTTTCGGGCGACGCCATCCGCGCACTAACCCTCTACGTACTCCAATATACCAAATCTGCCCAAAGCGCCAGCCAGCTTCCTCAAGCCTTGCGGTCAGATAAGGCCCTGTACCTAGTTAGTTGCCGCTGCTCCCGGCGCTGGGCCAAGCCGTCGGACGTCCGTTCCCCCTCTTTCCCCCTCCTCTCCCCTCTCCACTGGTGGAACGATGTCTGGCTGTTGCCATCGTTCTCAGAAGCAACGCCCCCTGGATCGGGTGGCCGTCGTACTATTGCATGTTCGTCCGCGCTACTAGGAAAGTTTCTTCCTACCCGGAGTATCCGTGTTTAGTCCGCGGGCTGGCTGACCGGCTAGCTGGCCGTGCCAGTTGGGTAAGGTTCCAAGGGAAGACCTTACTAGGTAGAAACGGGATCCAACAATGAGGGGAAAAGGGCGGATATGGCTTGCCGAGGGTTCTTTTGCGGCCTGGACGAAGGAAGGAAGATGATCACTAATGCAACACAATCTTGGCTTGCAAGGAATTGCGCTCCAAACAGAATGTCTCTGCGTAGGGATGCCAACTCGTGCGGGCCATGCTGGATGGATAGTACGCTGCTCCACTCTCGCTCGACCTTTTGCAGTCCACAATCGTCTCCCCCGTATCGTTGGGCGGGGGCGTTTTCTGCAGCTATGGCTGCTGCTGCCCCGACGGTGAACCTTTCTGCATCCCCGGTTTTAGTCGATTTTAGTTGGCGGGCCTGGAGATTAAACTCCGTCGGACGAAGAGGAGCAGTGGTGTCATCGTCGGCGGATTGCATGCTATCGGAAGAGCATGGAAGAGGGAAAACATCAACTTCATTTGCAAAACGCTCGAGCATAAATAGAGGCCTGGATTCCGCTGTTCTGGTGGCTTTTCTTCTTCATCCAGCATCGCAAGTCTCTCAAGCATCGCCTGGTTCGTTCTTCTCACTCTTCCAACACCAGCCTTGTCAATAAGTTAGCTCTTCATCTTTCCGAAGAAACCAATCCTCCAAACGTCAAAATGAAGTTCTCTACCATCCTTACCGGCTCTCTCTTCGCCACTGCCGCTCTGGCTGCTCCTCTCACTGAGAAGCGCCGTGCTCGCAAGGAGGCCCGCGCCGCTGGCAAGCGCCACAGCAACCCTCCCTACATCCCCGGTTCCGACAAGGAGATCCTCAAGCTGAACGGCACCACCAACGAGGAGTACAGCTCCAACTGGGCTGGTGCCGTCTTGATCGGCGACGGCTACACCAAGGTCACTGGCGAGTTCACTGTCCCCAGTGTCTCTGCTGGATCTAGCGGCTCCAGTGGCTACGGTGGTGGCTACGGCTACTGGAAGAACAAGAGACAATCCGAGGAGTACTGCGCCTCCGCTTGGGTTGGTATCGACGGTGACACCTGCGAGACCGCTATTCTCCAGACTGGTGTCGACTTCTGCTACGAGGATGGCCAGACTTCCTACGATGCCTGGTATGAGTGGTACCCCGACTACGCCTACGACTTCAGCGACATCACCATCTCTGAGGGTGACAGCATCAAGGTCACTGTCGAGGCCACCAGCAAGAGCAGCGGTAGCGCCACCGTTGAGAACCTGACCACTGGCCAGTCCGTCACCCACACCTTCAGCGGCAACGTTGAGGGTGACCTCTGCGAGACCAACGCTGAGTGGATCGTTGAGGACTTCGAGTCCGGTGACTCCCTTGTTGCTTTCGCTGACTTCGGCTCTGTTACCTTCACCAATGCTGAGGCCACTAGCGGCGGCTCCACTGTCGGCCCCTCTGACGCTACCGTTATGGACATTGAGCAGGATGGCTCCGTCCTCACCGAGACCTCCGTCTCTGGCGACAGCGTCACTGTCACCTACGTCTAAATGCATCTCGATGCATGAGATATCGGTCGCTTCAATGTCTTCGTCTCGAAGACAAACCCTGGGGATGAATGAAAAAATGAGTGATGAGCTATCCGGATTGATCTGATCTTGTTGAGTTGTTAATTCTGTTTGTGTTGATGTTTTTGAATGATTGTACCTACTTTTAAGTAGAAGAAATGGATGAGCGCGTGCATGCTGAAAATGACTGTCCCTGCTTATATTGTAGAAGATCTTCCAGAAAGCTGTGCTGCGGATCTGAAGATCTGAAGATCACTAGTGAGATCTCGCAGCTCGGCTGTGTAAGTGCTTTTGCTCTGTCGATCATAACTTTGTAAAAGCTTGTATGCATAGCAGACATCTGTCGATTATTTAGATGCTTCAAATTGATCATCTTTACTAGAATCCCCATCCGAATAGAGCTTCAGAGCGTCGGGTGGAAATGTCGGGTCGTGGATGGTATCGGAGAAGTCTCACAACATGAACGAAAGATCCGCGGTATATGGCCAGTGTATGGAGGAAGCGCTGAAAAAGTCTTTCCCTATAGTTAATAAGAGGATTCGCAGTTAGTTAGAGCTTCAGGAATATAAATACCAGACGGGCTGGCTTACCGTTCCCCGATAATAGCCCGCGAGCCAAAGTGACATAGACATGGTCAAAGAGGAATCGAGCACAGCCAATACCTGGATATAAACCCTTTCCATCAGACTTTGTTCCAGAGAAGAGAGGGGGGTATTTGTTAGATTATTTTGAATGTCCAAGGGCCATCTGATGGTCGTAGCTCGGTTGCAGTGATGGATGTAGGCCATCAAAGTCTCAAGCTGGGGGGAGACATGACGTTGGGACTGTACACGTGATCCGTATAGGCAGCAGTAGCGCCATATCTACTTTTGTAGTATCAACGATAGCAGAGAATTTGGGCGCTGCGTTTAAGGTTAGCAGAAGGAACAGCTTATCACCTTGGTAATCGTCGGTATCTCTCTCTTTACCAGGAACGCAGATGCTCTGAAGTCTTCAGCCAGGAGTAAAGCGACATGTTACCCCCGACAACTGGATTACTGCTTAGAGCACGGTGCGTAGGAAGCTATAACGAGTATACGTAGCAGAACATCTGCTTTCATTCATATTTTGTGCACCGAAACTTCTCAGCAGACGTGACAAGAGAAAGGCTTGCATAACAACGACAATATCATCGGCCAAAGCGAGCTCGTGCCATTATGCTATATTAGCGATGAAGCCAATGCAGGGACAATAGGGTCCGTTCCCGTTCCCCTGAAGCTGTCAGGTACAGGGTCTAGGCTAGGATAAGGTAGAGATCCCACCTGTCGCCATACTTACCTTGAGGCTCGATTGTGACTATGCCGAATCGGGAATGTGCACAAGATGTGCAGTGCTGATATAAGACATTGAGCAGAGAAGCTACAGCCAATAAGGATAGAGAATAACGCCTTCCTGATTCGGTACTTAATGAGTGCTTTCTCGGATGAGCCATCCCTACGTAGTAAGTAGTCACCGATTATTTCTCCAGTATATCACTGTTGATGGGCTGGATGCATACAAAATAGACGGCAGATATCTACTATGAATTATACACATAGGAAGTTGATGTTGAGTACAGATCATGTTCGCTCAGTCACAAATTCGATACATCAATTGCTCAACTCCTCGAGAATGACGAGTCTATTCCGTAGTAGTATCCTCTGAACTTTCCTGTTACATTAGAGACGCACAGATTGATACCATGGGTACAAATCATGTAAGCAAGGAGAAGAAAGGACTAGCTAGTAAAAGCCTAACATACAGCAATATGCCTGTCGATGACACAGCCCGATAAAGTTAAATATCTACATACATGCATCAAATGGCCCGTTGACATATCTCACTGTCCATTCACTCGTATAAATTAACGGACGGAGGAGGAAAGTTTCATCCATATTCATTAACTCAATATGACATGGAGCCAAGATCCGTCGCGGCTGCTGCCGTGCCCCTCCTGTCGTTTAAGATCCCTCTATTTATGATAATCACTCACCCTCATCTACTACCTTTCCACCCTTTACCAACTCTTTATCCAAAACTCCTCAATACTTGGTCAGATCATAACAACCATGTCCACCTCCGGAAAGGACTTCAGCTACAAGGGCTCCGGCACCAACAGCCAGGTAAGTGCCATCGTCCTACAACATGTAGACCTCATCACCACAGCATTTAACAATATCATTCAATCAAAAGGGAAACCACTGGTGCTCCCGCGACTACGGATCCGGCAGTCGTAACTCGAACTCTTACCACTATTCGAACAGGTCAGCTATCCATCTCAATAACCTACCTATACTTCCACTAGAGCAAGCCAACCCCTGTCTAACAACTTCTTCGTAGTGACGGATCCTACTACTACTCCAACCCCAATGGGAGCACCTACTATAACAATGGAAACGGTGGTTCGACCTATACTCCTCCCAGCGGAAACGGTGGCTCGACCGGAAAGAAATAAGTGTGGGCTTAGATCATTGGATTCTGGGAAGGATCAGTTTGAGACTTAGTAGTAACTCAAAGTGATATCTCCTGTAGCTGTATCAGTGATTGTTGGGCTTGAGCTTCTTTCTTCCCCATCAATGACACTAAAGATATGCTGATATAGCGTCGGAGTATCTTTACATTGCAGAAATCTGAATCTGACGTTTGCTTGGTCTTCTACAACGCAAGTGCTCCGATTAAGTGCTGATCTTCGAAGATCTAAGTAAGCTATATACTATCTAGGTGGGGTATTGCTTGGCTTGAAGATCTTATTATAGATCGTATGTTATAATTTCGTAGCGTTCCGCGTTAAATTGAACCGGTTAAAAGTTGTGCGTACCTGAGTACCTACCAGGATTTATAAGGACTTATTATCTAGGATGCTACTAACAGCATTTAGTATTAAACAGCCATTATTGAAATGGAAACTTAACTGTTTAATGATCAGTTGGCTAGCAAAAGTATAAGCTGATAGTGGAACATGTTAAACACATGCATACTTCCCCGGAAACTTCGGAAGCTCCCAAGCCATCCTTTCTTTGCCACCATAAATGCAAAGCAAGCCACATATCATATCTATTCATATATAAAGCCAAGCTATTCATGAATGTAGTTTATGTTGAATAGTTTGAATTAAATCATATCGATTGGTTGTGTGACTGGATCCGCTCAGGCACACAAAACCTCGGCAGGCAGAACCATCCGCTTCCCAATAACGATTAGCGTGTCTTTCCCGGTCGGCGTATCTCTTAACGCGACCACCGCATGAATTGCCCCTCCACACCTGATCATCATTTACCATTGCTATCCCCGATTCCTGGAAATTCTCTTCTAGTCAAGAACTTTCCAGAACAAAGTACTTACGGTGAGCATGTCTCACAGACTCTTTATCCTCGTCTACAGAGGCGATCCCCTCGATTACAGCGAATACCGACACACGGCTCTATACGTGCAATTTGCATCGCAAAAACGCAGTATCCTACATATTCTAGGCACCCAGGGTCTCTACAGATACGTGGAATACCCTGGAGCTGACCCGATGGAACTTGGGGATTTGGTGCGTGCAGTGCCGGTGGCGGACTTGTCGGCCTCCGTCGAGGAGGATGAGATTCGGGAGACGGTGGCACGAACGCCGGTGCGCAATGGGTATTTGGATTTGGAGTGGAACTGCCAGCACTGGGTGGGGGATGCCTTGGCCAGATTGGTGGACAGAAGTTGGGTCGCAGGCACCGAGCGGGCGGATGCAATCGATAAGATGACCGACGCTTGCTTGGAGGCCCACGATGACCAGCTGCTTGCCGCTCAGTGATCGGGTTAGTGCTTTTTCAACAATGAAGTATGTATGCGTATATCCCCGCTCGCTCATACCTATAAGATATAGATTAACTTTCCTAAGGTTTTCACCAGTGGTCATCTCCGAAGGTGGAAGTGATCTCACGCCTTGGTGGCTTGGAGGGAGATCAGTGGTTGAGACTGCGTTGCTGCAGTGTGGGGTAGCACCAGACTAAAATGCGTCACTTGAACTATCTTTGCCCACCAGCAGCAAGCTCCATAGTTTATCGGTTACTTGCGAGAATGCGTGTAGGCGACAGCATACGCAGCACCCATTCGTGGTGACATTGTCTCGTGCGGTTTTTAGTGCTTATCACACCAGTCGCACTTCCGGCAGGCAAGCGTGATCCCCAATGAGGCCTACCTCTATCGACATTACTTACCGAGTAAGTTTGGAGTGGTTACACCCGATCGAACCGCTTGAGGGTCCGTCCACCTGGCTGAAGATGGCTGGCGTTATGCTGGATTATGTACGTACATCTCGGTGAGCGTACAGCTGGTATTGTTAGGGGAAGATTCGAGATTCTGCATCTTGAAACGAGGTCATCATGGCCATTGAGGGGCGGAACAGAAAACAAGAAAAGAAACTGAACAAAGAAAGAAGCAATATACCTTCATCGCCTTGTGTGATGTCATTCGGGACTTTACTGCGGCCATTAACCGCCCATGGTGATGAGTTGTCATGTTCAGCTGCATAGCTGCGGTGAACATATTAAACTTGGAATTTGACACGTGAGAGATGAGCTGCGCAAATCGAGCGCTTCAAATCGAATTGATCCTTCATGCAAGCATCTATACCTAGCTGAAAGCCAATAAGAACCCCGCACAACAGGGATTGAGCGGCTGGAGGCCTAGTAGCTTTCCACCCCCCTTCCTCGCGGGGTCATCATTTCATTCGTATCTCCCTTGATGGTTATGTCAGCATGCTAGTTTGATCCTGCCGCCGAGGCTGTACTTTAATCCACATGAGGGGGCCCTGTTCGCCAATGATTAGGGCATTCTAGCGCTCGATGTGCGGTTCATCAGTGTGAACTCTCCGTTGGAGCCGTCCGAGCTGCGGCTTGCCATCATCTGATCCATCACTCAAGCGCTGCTTAAAAGGACATATGGTCGCTCGTCAGCCCAGATTCGACATCTCATCTCCATCTCTAGACAGATTTGTAACTCACCATGGCTTTTGACAAAGTTGATCATCCTGTTATAACGATCGCGACGGTCATTCTCGTTCTTTGGTATACCACAACCTACCTGCAGCGGAAATGGACGCATCGTCGTATCATAAAAGCGAACAATTGCCAGCCGCCACCATCTTATCCTCAGAAGGACCCTATCTTCGGCCTCGACATTCTGTTTGAGCAGATTAAATATTCCAAGAACATAAGATTCTCGAGCGGGCCATCGAGCGATTCAAGCTATATGGCAACACTTTTACACAGCGTCGATTCACCCCTTTCATCATAACATGCGAGCCGGAGAATATAAAGACAGTTTTGTCCCTCCGATTCAAGGATTATGGCTTAGCAGGCCGCATCGATGCAATGGGTCCGCTTTTGGGCCATGGCATTTTCACCACTGATGGCGAGCACTGGGCCCAGTCGCGTGCCATGGTCCGTCCAAATTTCGCGAAAGAGCAAGTCGCGCACTTGGATATCTTTGAGGAACTAGTGAACGAACTGATATCGCTGATTCCAACCGATGGCAGAACGGTCGATCTACAGGAGCTATTCTTCGAGCTCACGATCGACTCTGCAACGGAATTCCTCTTCGGGCACAGCGTGCACAGTCTTCGGAAGCGGCGGGCTGGGGCCCGTGACAGTACAGAACATGACTTTGCCAGCGCTTTCAATTATGCACAAAAGGCTATTGTGGCAGATCTACGCCTTGGTAGACTTAAATATCTCCGCCGCGACCGCAAAGTAGGAGAGTGCATCCGAATCTGCCATGAACTGGTGGAGCAGTTCGTCGACAGCGCAATGAGAGTGCGAGAGCAGTCTAGCGACCAGAAAGCGCTCCCTGTAGGGGACAGTCATGACGCAAAGGAGAAGCAGAAGTATCTATTTCTGCATGGGTTAGCCCAGCAGACGGGGGACCGCAGGCGTATCCGCGACGAGCTAATAAATATCCTCTTGGCCGGGCGAGATACCACGGCATCCCTGTTGAGCAACTTGTTCTTTATGCTAGCAAAGGACCCTCGCATCTGGAACAAATTGCGCGAAGAGATTGCCTTCTTAGAAGGCCGTGCGCCGTCGTACGAGCAACTGCGTAATCTGACATATGTGAAATACTGCCTGAATGAATGTGAGTATTCATGACCTGCAGAAAGGCCTGAAAGAGAGCTTTCTGTCCCCATGAAACATGGCTTACTTGGCACTATAGCTCTTCGCCTCCACCCTGTTGTTCCAGCAAACTTGCGCTTTGCGAACACGGATACAGTACTTCCCCGCGGTGGCGGACCAGACGGCAAGTCGCCTGTTTTCGTGCCAAAGGGCTGTACAGTCGCCTATAATGTCTATGCTCTTCACCGTCGTGAGGACATATTCGGCCCAGATGCAAACGAGTTCCGGCCTGAACGTTGGGCTGAGATCCGTCCGGGGTGGGAGTACCTGCCATTCAATGGGGGACCACGAATCTGTGTTGGTCAACAGTATGCACTAACGGAGGCAGGGTATGTCACGGTTCGGCTAGCCCAGAAGTTCTCTGTGCTTGAAAGCAAGGATACGGGGCAGTGGGTGGAGGGCTATGCACTGACACTTTGTTCGAGAAATGGGACGAAGGTGGCATTGAGCTAGTTCGTGCCTGTATATGTCTAGATGTGTAAAGATGATATTGAACTAGAAACCTGTTGCGTACATAGTACTGCCTCAGTATATGGATGGTGGAATTGAGGACTCGGTAGCTGCCAGTGTCACAAGCGAAGGAGAGTCAGGCGCCAGTTGGTCACGAGATTCCGCCCGGGTACCTGACTCGGAAGGCAGTTCCATGTCAGGCAGGACTCTGTAGCATGGAAGTGTCCGACATGTGCCGCAGCCCAGAAGAGCCTTAACCTAATGCAGCCGCCTACTGTGTATAGTAGCCTTATAGGTGATGCTCCCTGCCTGGCATCAAGGCTTCCCAATATCCACAGAATTTCAACCCCAATCTAATGAGAGGACAGATCCTCGTATCGAGACATGAAGCCTCTATACACAACATACCTAAGGAATTAGCCTGAGATTACGTTCCCCTCCCTCTACCATGGTAGAGCTCTCGGTTCTAGAGGAATAAACCTCCCGTAGCTTCTCTTCATGGGGTTCCTGGGGGTAGAATAGGTGCACATAACGGGATTCAAACCAGTAGCCCCTAAAATGCCAAGAAGATGGCCCCCAACCTCTTCTTGAACAACTAGTAGGGCCTTCCTGGTGACGTCCATTACGCCACCGAAGGCTCTTCCCATGATCCCTGAGCATTGTAGACGGATCCGGTCTGTCGAACAGCCCAACAAGTCACTGATGTATCGTATCATGGTGTTTTGGAATGTATCAGTCGCTGTAGCCCACGTACTGTGGAGCGAATGACAAAGACTTTCATCAACCTATCAAAAACATATCAAACGCTTGTTAGATTAATCCGACGCACATCGGTCGCTCTTGGGCTACTAGGGGATAGCAAGGGGAGCTGTACGTACCTAACGCGTTTCGCCTGAATGGAGCTATGGCAACTATAACACCTGTAAGGAGTACGTCATGCAAAGTTACATCGCTGATATAGAATTCGTTTACTTCATGTTTCTGCAGCCAAACATCCTAAGTCAAAGGGTAGAGACTGGTCCGATCGTGTGTATAGGATATATCTGAATCTCAAGATGGTGTTAGTTGTCATCGTAGTAGTGGTCAAGGATCGGGTGATACGTGGCCAGAGTGAATAATATATCTCAACAAAATGTATAACGAAGTGTCCTATCCATGTGTCTATCTCGATCAGAGAAACAATGAATGCCTCACTTGATAGCAGTTCTGCTGGATGCTATTACTCTGCCTGGTCACCTTTTCTACAATTGCTCGAGATTTATCTGCAGCCACCGTTCTGAGTGTCCACTTTCTTCTATTGAAGTGATATATTTACTCTTAAACCCGAAAAGTGCTCTATCACACTTATCTACACTGGTGATTGAGCTGTCACTTACTGTATCAGGAGCCAGGAAAAAGCAATTTGGAATGTCTCAACGACTATTTCCTCCACCAGTGGGCTTCGGAGAGTTGTAAAAAAGGTGGCCAGACGGGGTATGTGGGGAACTACTGCAAGCTCAACAAGGCCATGGGCTGTATAGCCATGGACGGAATGCCTGATGTCGCACAAGAAAACCGGAGCAAAGGGGGAGGCGGCAAGAAAAAAGTATCGGAAAGAAGGGGAACACAAGATTCGTGGGCGTTCGACGACATGATTGCCTATTATTAGTAGGTGACGAGGAATGGAGACAAAGGGAAGCCCAAGCCAAGGAAAACATGCAACTGGGGCCCGCTGCCTTATAACAACTGGGCGTGACACAGCAGCATAACATATCTGCTCGTCTGGCTGGGAAGTAGAGCTTATAACGAAATAGGGAACTCGTCACTAGGCAAACCGACATGACAGGCCACGTCTAGCGTTTCGATCCCGCGTTCTGTACCTGTCGTCGGGTGAAACGAGGCTGAGATGTATCCTGTCATATGATGGGTTTGCATGCGACGACAGCTGGTACCTGGAATGATGCCTGTTGGTTTGCCATGCTTTCGCACCAGCTCTAAATCCGACTAGCCAGTTAATATCAAGAACCCAGCCGGGTTCCACAACATTCAGATCCAATGGCCAGTCGCAGAGATGGGAGATTATTTATCGCCTTTGTTGTTGGTGCTGACGCTTCTGGCGGTGAACTCAACCCTCACAGGCTTCCACAAGCCATTCTTTGAGCCTTGGGATCATTTTCCTTGAGGCTGGAATACTGATTATGAGGCGACGGAAGTGGCGGTGAAAAGGAGGCCTAGAAGATTCCCGTCCCACAATTTATCTGCCAATGGTGCTTTTTCCGGCATTCAACCGTATGAAGCTGTGGTCAGTGGTGGATCTCAGGGTCCTGCAAGATGGACAACGGAATCCCTTCCCCGATTGGACTATTGATCGCCTGAAGCAATTGCCAGCCATTTTTGCGCAGATGTGGTTCAATAGACGGGCTGACGGACTCCATCCGCCGCGGTCCAGCCGATCGGAAACACGATCAATCGCGATACCCACCGAATTAAACATGTCTGACTTTCTCGAATAACGCATCCACATCCACAGTGGAGCCCGCAAACGGAGCACCTCGAAGAAGAAAGGGCGAAACTTCCATGGATGGATGTGTCGATCTGCATCTCATTGCTTTTTTCTGCATCTTTTTCTTCTTTGTCGCCTGTCCTCCCTTTCTTTCTTTTTGAGTTCCAGATTCCGCCCGGCGACCCGTCTCAGTCGGCCCACCCTTACCAACATCATCGTCACTTGTCGCACAATCAAATCCATTGCTACTATAGCCTAACCGGCTCATCGGTGCCCAATACCCGGGATCAAAACTAGTATGCCCGGAAGACCATCCGCGTGAACGGATCGGAGAGTAAGAGGCCAATCAGACCAGAACCGTTGATCCCGACAGTCTGTCACACAAACCCTCACCCTGCGAACTACGTGTTCCGTCCCGCCCTTCGACTTCATTCCGATGTTGGTCTCTCTCGACTTCCCCGGCCAATCGGGAGCCGGCCAGGCTGAAGTCCCAAGGACTCGTCGGTCACGACGGGCTCAGTTTGGGAGGAAGGGGCCTGGCGCACTATTGTCGGACGGTGGTATTCCACAGAAGTTGACCTGCATATCCACCGCCTGTCCACTCTGCCACGACGGGGAAGTTTTTTCCCCCCCAATAGCAGCGGGGCATCTCTTCATTTCTTTGAATAACAAATCTTGTCCATTCCACGGAATGCAAGGGAAATGTCGAACAAGGCCGATACACAAGGGTGTGGACTCTTCGTCGACGGGCGGCCACATGGCACGGGAGAGTGAATTATCGGGTCGATAGACCCAGAATGATGAATGGAGTTGACGTTGGGGTGCCACTTACTTGTCTATAAATATGCTCGCCAGCCTGCTAACCGGTAGACCTAAATGATCACTTTCCTGTGGGAGCTTATCTTGCGTTCAGCCCACCTCCTTCCTCTTCGAAGCTTATTCCTGCCTTACGAACGTCTCTTCTTTCACTTGTGATCAACCGGCGACCATACAACATACTACATAGTAACACACAATGGACCGAAGTGCTACCAGCAGAAACACTGGCTCAAGTGGCCATGCCGCTAATGGCGCTCACTCCGATTTACCGGACCTGGCTACTTATCAAGCACAATGGGCCAAAATCCATGATGATACTGTGCGCCAGATCAACGAAGCCCTAGGTATGTATTGTCCATTATTTCTTTGTCTTGCACATCTTTTTAACGCCGTCGAATATCTAGAACAAGAGAAGAAACGCATAACCAACCGGTCAAAGCAATCCCCTTCAAGCTAGCGATAAATGATGAGCATCCGGAGAAATTGGCGATATCGGGTGTTTATCGGAACTCTGTTGATTCTGACTTTTTGTTCGGCATCTGCTTGCTTTTTCGCTTGGGATGATCTTCCTTTTATTTGACTTAAATTTCTGCGGTCTTCGTTTACTGGCCTCATTTTTGATTGCATTTCCCTTGTGAAGCGGATTCAGCGTTCTTCATTCTATACCATTTAACAAGTCTTGATATTTCAACAAGTGATTAGTCTGTTCTTTACTCGACACAGATAATCGTCACATAAGCCACTTACCAACTCTCTTCTCTCTGAATCACTACAAAGTATCTGTTCTTCAGCTGCCCCAATGATGGACAAATTGCCCGGTGATGTGCTAAATTTATAGCGTGGGGTGACAATGTCCATGCGCCATAAGTTAGATTAACCCCTGACGTCACAGCTGCCGGTGTACCCTTCGCTGCCTAATCATACGAAGAGCTCAGCTGGTGTTCGGTAATCAAAGGATCAGGTTGATATGTAGGATGACGTTCTTACCTCTCTCACCCGGGGAGGAGCAACAACAGCACCGCCACGAAGTTCGAAGTGATACTAGTTCCTATCGCTGACGGGACATACCAACGTCAGCACGCCACACCACTAGATCTATCGCATTGAAACCATCCCGACCGCTAAGATAAGTTACTCCCCGGTATATAAACAGAAACAAATCAATAAACTGTCCCACCAACGCCGAGCTCATTTCCGTTGGGGCCAGACTCACTTTCTAGACAGACCCCAATTACGAGTCCTGCCACATCCATATACTAGTAAAAATCGAAGCACTGGTGGCTCCACCGGGTGTCTCCGATCTGATGCAGCCAAAAGTACCATTGCAGTGCCGTTCGCCGCGGAGAGTTCCGAACCCTCCGTACAAGAGATGGGTCCACGCCGATCCCTTCCCCCCTGTATGTAGCCCTCAAGCAAAAGTACCATGCCTCCCTGCTAGAAAGTACCGCGACCAGTAACTGGTTTGGGAGACTAGCTGCTTGGCCCCCCCATCCATTTCATGCATCATGTCCTTTTGCCTTTTTCGTCGTTCGTTGCTCATATGACTGATGATGTAATTGTATGTGCGCGAGGATTTATCTGGTGACTGCAGTCCGACTCATTTAGCCGCCTTCGTTTCAGTTCACTTTTGCTGTTGGATGATCATTTTCGCCGAGGCTGTTGCTGACACACGGGGCAGATGCAGAACAAATTGTTGACAAATGGCTGGACAGTTTGGCCTGCGGGCTCAGTCGAGTCGCATTCGGCGCGTAGGTTTTCCCGGTTTGGGCTGCTTGCTGGGCTTTCGGGGAGATGTGGATTTTCGCGACTGTCGCGGTTGTAGATCTATTCTTTAGTTGCCTGGAGTGAGTCATTTTATGAGATGCACTCGTACTAACTGAGATGCTACTCGCCTAGCGCAGAAGGTTGTCGGGGATTGCTCTCCAGGTCTTTCAGGTGCTATTGCAACACATGCGTGATTGATTGTTGGGTCAGAAAAGGCATTTGTTCTCGTGGTTCCGATTGAGGAACAGGGACAAAGTACAGCTGTCCATGCACTCGAAGAATCAAGGGAGGTGCTTCCCATCTTGTAATAGCTGAAGCTGATAGTTGGCTATGTTCGTCGTTGTTGACGGAGCTAGCTGCATTGAGAAAGTCACGTTCTCGGTCTGCAGCCTCGAGGTCGTCCCCAGCGGTGTTGGTGTCACCTTTGTCCTCCCGAGAATCTTCACCTTATCTGACGTTCCATCCTTGCCTTGGAATCATATGGATCATGGGGAGTCAATCATCTGATTATTGCTTCTAATTATCTGCCTGCTTCTGACTGACCATAAAATCAAACATGCTATACCCCTGTCATTGCACCAAGAACAGCTACGATGGCCCTTGATATCTTGATGACTCTAAGTGTTCTCTTTACGTATACTCCGTGCACTGACCTCAACCCCCTTCAGGAAGATCTCGGACACAACCGCCCATTATTGTTCCACGAATACGGCAAAGGATCCGTGACTTGAACTTCCCAGTCCTCCGACCCCACCGCCGTAAGAGCAAAGAACAAACCGGTCGGGTCGTACTTCTGCTTCAACTCATACAGACGTGGGTAGTTGGCACCATAGAACGCCTGCTGGAAGTTAGGCTCCAACAAATCACCCTCGTTCATATACGCGCCAGAGTCAGGAGAAATTTCCCGCAGAGCATCCATCCAATCCGTCACAAAAAGGGAAGAATTATAGACCGTCTCCCAGCTCGAGGTGAAGTCCCATTCGGTTGCGACAATGACGTGAGAAAGAGCGTCACGCCATGCCGGCAAAACTGCAATGTTCGTCGGTGGCTCGACAGCGCTTCCTTTGCCGCTGATGTGGAACCCCATGATGAATAAACCCTAAGATGGTTAGTAACCATTACAATCACGATCATATCAGCCAGCATACCTTGTCAACGGCGTCCTTTTGAGCAAGAAAGTTCCGGTTACGGAGGTCTTGGTTCTCGAAGACATTCCGAGGCAGAAGACGTGACGCCAACTTGTATATGTCCAATCCCCCGGTTTCCAAAGGAAAGTTGTCTTCCTCCCAAACTTCATAAAAGTTATCCGCATGGCTGTAAATGGGGGTGAAGCTGACATTAAGGCTATTGAGGGTATTGAACCAAGGTTTGAGAAGGTTCTGCGTCTCAGGAATGGTCATGTTGGGAGCAACAAAGGAGACCATGCGGAAGTTGTAGTCAGTTTCGCCGGAAGAAGCTTCCCCCTTCTCAGCTCCCGAGGATCCCAGAAAATAGTACCCATATGTTCCAGCGTTGACAAAGTCCTCGAAGTTGTCTAGATAGGACTGAAAAGCCGCCCAAAACGCTTCAGCATTTGGAGTGTCGTTCAAAGTCCAGTTGAAAGTTACGAGTGTTGTGGGCAACTGGGGATACGCCTTAACAGTCATGGATGTTACCACTCCAATTGTGCTGCCTCCACCACCGAGAAGCATCCAGAAGACGTCTGAGTTTTGCTTGGAAGTTGCAGTGATAAAGCGACCGTCCGCCAAGACAACTAGAGATTGATGAGTGAGAGGTCACGGATAATGAAAGGTGAACCAAAGGGGAAACCAACCTTCCAGAGCCAAAACCTGATCTGCTGCCATGCCATACATGCTGCTCAATGGCGAGTGGCCTCCACCAAGGGTGAAGCCACCGGAAACTCCAACAGAGAGGCATCCGCCTCCGATGACGGTCACATTCAACTCTTTCCCAAAATCATACGCCTCCGAAACTTGCACTCCAGCGCCAAGCTTAATAGCAGGTCCAACATAACCACCGTCAGCTGTGAACGAGGGGTAGAAAACCTTGTCCTTGAGCCGGTGCGTCCAAATCGACAGACCTCCTTTTCCAGAGGGCTTGCCGTTGAAGTCATGGCCGGTGTTCTTAACTATTAGGCGAAGGTTCTGGTTTCGGGCAAAGTTCACGGACAACTGAATCTGAGCAACAGTGGATACGTTGACGACGTACGTAGGGTAACCGCCTTGCGTACATGTGCTGGTGTAGTTGTACCCTATGGGCATGCACGAGCGACCCTCATCCAAGGGTGCCATGATGGAGCTAGGATCATCGTAGCTTAACGCTTCTCAGCTTAAAGTTACCTTGATATGAAAGTGCGGCACTGATATACTCACTGCAGAGAGTCGTCAAGCCAATTCGATGTTATCTCGGAGCATTGCTCGGTGTTATATTCAGGCCAGTCTGGATAGCAGGAGGCTGCCAAAGGCGCAGGCTTAAGCAAGCCCCCACCGAGCAACTGGTCAAAAATATTCCAAGTCGACTCAGTTGGCCATGTCGCATCTCCTGGCATGACCTTGCAACTATGCTGGGGTGTCCCGCTGTTGTTAGCCGAGTCACCTGCCCCGAAAGCAAATATACTCGACAAGGACTGGTTATTCAGGGCGGTATCAACTCTAGCCAGTGCATTCTCAGTCAGCTGTACTTTTTCCCAGGGAAACAATGGCGGCGCAGCAGAAGGGCTCGTTGTCACAGTTGCCGCTGCTGCACTTAATGAAGCTACAGCCCTTGTAGCCTGTGCATATGCTGCGGACGCCACCATTGAGATGGCCAAACCCCGAGAAAAATACCCCTTCATGGTTACAGCCGACTCGCTATGGGGAAAAGAAAACCACGGGCCCGCTGCGAATGCAAAATTCTGGGCGAGCAGTGGCTACTTTAGTGCTATAAGTATTCCGCGGCTAGCGGTTGATTGACACACCGAGAGGTTCACATGGTCGATCCCCACCTTCGCGCTCAATTACTATAAACATTATTGATCTTGCCTAGTCACAGTGAGCTGAAAATATTCTTTCTAATGGCCTTATGACGTACGGGCCCCGCGGAAGTTGAGGTCGAACACTCTTGAAGTCATGAGGTCATCGACATCTTCTTGTATCGTCCCCTAATCTATAACATAACTATCATAAACACCAAGGATTGGCTTACCTTGTGACAATAAGCTGCCTTTGTCCATGCTATATGGATGATTATACCTCACCTCGCAGACTATCATATTGGGTTGAGCATATCGTGGTACACCGCTTATTTCAGAGAAATGCTCATAGTTTGACTGACTGGCATTGATTAAGTCTGTCACTTTTCGACTAACCTGCTTGTCTAAATACAAGAAAATTCAACTCACTAACACTATCCAGGATGGGTGTCCGGCCTTAAGCAATGTTCGATTCAGCTGAGGCGCTTGATCGACACGATTATGGCCATATGCCATTGCCAATTGCAAGCGACTTACCTGAAAGATAAGTAAGCTCTGCAGAAAAAGTAATATGTTCAGTCTCAGCTCCAGACTATTGTCTATAAATGTGGGGACGGCGCACGCTTCGCAAATCGCAATAACCTCTCGGTATGCAGCTATTGCCGCTAGTCAGCCGCGGCTGATTTAGTGCGCGACGGGTCACTAATCACTACCTGTTTAACTTACTCTTAGAACACCATTCTGTTTCTGTGGTGTTCTCGATGATGATAGGTTCAACTGGTCGAGTTCGCAGGAATATGGCGTACCTCGATGCATATATTGGTGCACTAAATGCCATGGTTGCAATTGAATAGAATACTGCTCATTCAAGGTGGCTTGGAGACAGCTAATCCTTGCGAAAAATATGAGAAACGCGCAGATCACATGTCATGTGAAGTCAATCTAGGGAAAATTCTGGATCTTGTCTGCAAGTCCACCCTCATTCGCTTTTTTTATCCTGTAATAAGTGGGCCGAGGGCACTCTTCCACATCCGATTAGGTAACTGAGTACTTCGGTGTAAGCGCGACAGTCTGCATTATCCGCCACTCCAGTGCCGGAAGCTGATCAAACATGGCAAATTTAGATTCTTAAGACAAAGGACAGGGGTGGGTTCGATTGTATGTGTATGGTCTATCTGGGTCCCAAGATGATGGTTGGTGGTGGTCAGAGACTACGTAGGTAGAGATGGCTAAAGATCAGGTGATGCCTGGGAACACTGGATATCTCAACATACAATATTAATAGGGACAACTCAGAGCACCATTTGCCACTTGACTCGAGTTTCCTTCACCATCCCCAACACTCCGACAGGCAGGAACTTCTGATCCACCAGCCTGATCCCTCCTAGTCTTTCTAGCACCTCTCCCGCATACAATTGCAAATGCCACAACTCTTCACTGTCCAGCTTGCCGACTTGCTCATGTGTGAGTGTTTCCTGGAGAGCTCTCCTAAGCTCTCGTGTTTCATCAATTGGCTGCATTGTCGGAACGCACATCAAATCGATATACATCCGTCTGAGATCGCTGCTTTGGGCTTCGCGGAATCGAGAAAATTCCTCGAATGACATGAACGTATGGACTTCCCGCTCGGTGACCAAGTCTCCTTCGAGATCTGCATTAGAAACACAGATTGCTAGCATCTTTCGCCGGCGTTGAACGCTCAAGTCTTCGAACTCCTTTTTTCGCTGGGCATACAAATTCTTCTCTTCGTCTAGGAATTGCTTTATCCTCGCTAGTGGTGGGTCATTCATGATACCCTCAACGAGGAGCACGGACGTGAAGGGATTGCGTAAACCAAGTCCACCTAGCTCTTCAGGGAAAAAAAAGAAAGCATCAGGAATCTCAGTCTCGCCAAACCGCCTCGTGATCATTGCTCGCAGGTGTTCTGGAATACTTGTGCTCCCTGATATCGAGCTATCCAATATCGTATCTTGAATCTTCTTGTACGTGGTCAAAATGGCACGGACATGTGGCTCCCCAAAGCAGTAGGCAGGCTGACCGAAAGTATTCTTAAAGAATCTTCCGATGCAACTGTTCCATGTGCGGACCCAAGATATTACACTATCACAGCGATCCAGTTGATGTTTGAGTTGTCGAACGTGCGCATCGACAAGGGTCTCATCAATCACCCACTCCTCGGTGTCTGCATCCAGTTTCAGAAACCCAAATGTCACTGAGCCCTTCGGCAGCTGGGCAGCGATTCTGGGACTTTTGGACTCAGCCAGATAAGCTGATCCAGTTTTGCTGTAATTAAATTCCAGCCCTGTGACCTTGGCGAATTCACCCATCACTTCCCAAGCTCGCACACACTTGGCTGGCTCGCCGCACAGCCATAAGTCATCATGCAGGCGGTATAAGAGCAAACCTGTTTCACGATTTACTGCTAAATCCATGAAAAAGAGGATCATTTCTCCAAGCAGTTTCTCAGCGGCATGCGAGAATGGGATCCCCCGCTTCCTGATGCGGGGTCCAACTGGTCCACGTCCTTCATAGGAGCTGTCCATGTTCAGGGGTGCTTCCAGGTAACGGCGATAGAAGTCGATCCAGTTTTGCGGGAAGCCAATATACTTCATGATAATGACGATTGTACTGTGAGGCAGACAGGTGGCGTACCATTTCATGTCGGACTGAATCACCACTGCTGCGCCGTGCAGGTGTCGCCGGACAAGCGCCTCCGTGGCAATTTTCCTTAGCAGCTGCTGTCGGAAATTTTTCCCTTCGTGCCTCGTTGAGCTTGTTCCAGCATTCTCATTGTCATCATCATACGAATTGCCCTTCTCACTCAATGTTTTCTCTGTTTTTGGAAGCTGCGACAAGAAGTATGTCTCCAGGTACTCCGTGAATCGCAACTCCTCGGCAGTTGAATATGTACTGTCACCACTCATGTAGAATTTCCGTCGAAGGCGATCGCGTGTCGTCATCTGTCGCTCGGGTTTCCAGTTCCACACCGAGTCCTGTTGGACAAATTTCAATAATAGCAGCTTCAAAATATTACAATGTCGCGTCCCGATATACTGCAGGAAAATTAACTGCAGGAGATCCTCGTCCATCCAAATGCGATACTTTCCATTTGCCTGCTGCCTCGGAACAACAGGGATTCCATTCTCCCCAGCATGCCAGGCCCAGTTTTCGATATCACTGTATCGCATATTCAGCACATCGGCAATCTCAGTTAAAGCGACCGGTGTCTTCAGAAACGAATTCATAATCTCCCGCTTCTCCTCACTGAGAAGCTCTTCATTCAAGAGTCCACGCACACAATACTCCACAGATTGCGAGGTGAAGGGCTCTTTTACTTTCCACAATGACATTGTAGAGTCCCTGAGCTGCTTGCGAAGATTGCCCAAGGCTTCCATACTCTCCTCGTCCGGAAATAAGTCATCAAGGAAGGCCCGGATCCGCCCTTCGTCTGTCTCCAACGGCTCGAACACGGACGCGTCGAATTGATCGCACAGTTGCTGCAAACGCTGCTTTTGTCGCTCATCCACGACCATGTAGTCGTCGTCGACCACCATCTCGCTCTCATCCCGGGACGCGACAGGAGGGTCTACCCACTCCGTCAGCAGCCGCGAGTACAGATCAGCGAGGTCTAGCTTTCGGCTCTGGATGTTGAGTTTCCTGAGAAGCTCAGTCTCGAATTCATGCAGCTTTTGTGGCGGGATTGACGAGTCGTAGCTTGATTGATGGATCCACCGCTCAATGTTGGCCATAGTGGGATCAGTAGACGCTGATGGATAGAGCACTTTTGCTCCATTGAGCAGGTATTTGAGTCGCCGACGAGGGTCCTGAGTGGACTGGGCCGCCTCTAGGATGGCAAGCTTGCGAGCCTCATAGCTCTTGCGTCGTTTCTCGAGCTCGCGAATTTTGCTCTGAGTCAGGGACTGCAGGGTTTGCGAGAGGGCGGAGACTGCTGGGGCCATTGTGGAGATGCACGATGCTTGACAGATAGTTTATCAAAGTCTGAGAGACGGATGTTGGCTGCCTCAAGCCCAGACCATATCCTCAATGATTTTATACTCCCCCAGCTGGCAGCTTGGCAGCACTTCTGCCTGCGCGGCTGCCTGGCGATCGGCATGCATCCACATTCCGCCAATGAGGCTCTACGCCAGTCTACATACTATCTGCAAGGGATAAAGGAACATGCCAGGGTCTCTTTCAACCATCCCATAAGCTTCATTACCATCCAACCGTAGCCGCAGCCTTTACCAAAGAATGTAAGGAAACACGAAACCATCCCCATTGAACCTGCGCACAATGTACAGGGATAAATCCCCTACTAATGAATTAATCAATTCTCCAAACTAAACCTCGCCAACCCATCCACCCACTCCTGATGTCCCAAAAGCATCGGATTCGGCTTCTTCTCCGCCAACCCAGCAGCCGGCTTTCCCGCCTGCACCTCCTGCGTCAAAATCCTCACCACTCCCCACTTCATATCCTCCACTATCCACGCATGATACACCTCCAGGGCCGTCTCCTCGTCCCCTTCCTGCCATGCGCGCCACGCCAACCGGCCGGGTGAGTTTGCTGTGGGCGCTACGCATTCGCAGATCTCTGCTTGCAGGGGCGGGAATCCGAACGTCGCGAAGCTGAACTTGTCACCGGGGTTTTGGAACGTTGCGTCGCTGGTTGGAGGAGGTGTTACTTCGTCCACGTTGCTGTAGTAGGATGTCCATCGCGATGGGGTGATGAGGTTCGGCCATACCCGGGAGGCGGTTAACTGGGGGACGTAGATTTCGTTGGAGACGAAGTTTTCGGTTGTGCCGGGGAGGAAGCGGTGGGGCCAGTGGATAGTGGACATTTTGGTTGTTTGTCAAGGTTGGTGGTTGGGTGTATGTTTGTGTGGGTTGATTGTTGAGTAGGAAAGATGAGATTGTTGTTGGGGGTAGGGTGAGGATGAGTGTTCACGATGTGCGACGTGGTTTCAGTGGAATAGTTTTGACTGTACAGATTGAAAGAAGGAAAAGTTATTAGGATGATTACAATCATGGGTTGAAAGTCGTTTTTATATCATGTTTGGAGAAATATTACATCATATACCCCACGGTGCTAATCGGTGGATCCGGCCGGCTATCCGAGTCCGACGCAACCTTATCGATACCATTTCATGGTTCTGTCTGTTCACTATTTCATGACGTTCCGCTCTCTAATTTGACACAGGGTAATATGTTGGTCCTAACGACTAGACATGGGTACCGCCAAGTTACAGCTTAAGAAGTAGCTCTATGCCCGCCCGCTAAGACTAAAGGTGAGAGTCTTAGACTTACAACGTGAGACTAATTAACCCAAAGATATCCTTAACAGAAACACGTGAGAGCTCAGACAGACATTTCAGGAGAATAGAAAAAAACATTCTGGACTGTATGCTCCCCAGGATGGGAGAGCGCAGGTGTTCTAGGTGAAACAAAAGTGATAGTAATAATCCCGTATATTATCGGGGTCAGTAGATTCAACCGGAGGCCAGGGCTCAGGGAACAAGAAAAAGGATTCCTTGGGAGAATGCTTAGGCTGTAAGGCTGGAGACAAGCGGCGTGAGATTTTAGTGCGTGTGCTGGGTTCGCTAGGATTCTGTACCTCGGACAATTATGCATAGACCATCGTTTTGCTCTTTCCTAGAAAGGGTATGGTTTCATATCTAGTTACTGTTGGAGGAAGCTTGATGATAGATTGCTGTCATTTTAATGCTATTTGAATGGATATGTTTGACGTCAGCTGTTAATCCATGTCAGAAAGAACCATCCCATAGGCCTAGTCAAGCATAGTGGAGCTACCTACTATACAAACTAGTGCTACTAGTCTGAGATTTGTTTCACAAAGAATCAGAACCGAGGGTTCTCCTTCTTCCGTTCCTCCTCCACAAACGCCTCGAAAGCCGCAATCTCCTCCGGGGGAATGTACACATCCTTCCACAATTCCCGTTTCATCCGCATCACCACCTCATGCATCATCTCCTCAGTCAGATCGCTCGAACAGACCACTGTCATCTCATACTTGGTTGCACTGATGTTTTCGATTTCGTATGCCTTTGCCTTTACATGCTCCGCAATAGCCACGAAAACATCTTCGATCGGGGGTGGGAAGTCGGTGCATGTAATGCGAAATCCGGAGCCAGGTTTCAGATTCATCCATGTAGCTTTGATGAATGGAGGACCACAGATCACAAAGTTCTTGTCGGTAATTTCTTCAATGATACCGGTAGTGGGATTTTGGAATTTTCCATCAACGATGGGCACCCTGTGAACAGGATGCCAGTTTGAGATGTACTTCATTTTTCTACTCGTTGAAGCCTGAGCTAGATTTGAGCGTTTATTCGAAAGGAAGTCAAAGCAAGAAAAGAGAATGGTTTTTGAGATAAATCTTTTGGATGGGACAAGGAAGGGGGGCCTTCTATAAGATATTTTGATATTATTGATGACTGGCAGGTTTCCAGCATGAAATAGACTCTGGCCTAATATCGACCCCTGTGAGACTGGAAAGCGGGGCTCATATGTCCACGACTACAGGCTCTTTCAGAGGTAGCCCTTCTGGTCAAGCTTGAATCCCTGCTAAATGTCTTACTTCCCCTCTTTGTTCTTTGTTTGTCACCAAAAATGCCGCAACTACCCCCTCCTGTGATGGCATAATGTAACGTTGAACTCTTGAGATCAAGTTAGATTCACAGTAGCGCAAAGGATAGATATATTGAGACAAGGTCCATCGCTGCCAGGAAATGCCCGATCATTGCCCCTACAGTAATAGTCTCCAGAACCCTGATTCGTAAGCCAACAGTCCACAGAGATTGTCAACAAATACACTGCCTAGAGATATCAACGAAACTCGATCTTAGTTACGGCTATTCTCAACGCAGTCTTTTGGTAAGCAGATTCAACAAGAAGTGATAGGCTTAACCTCACCAATAAATACCACCCTTTCACTCCATCTAAAGGCAAGAACCGGATCCACCGTTTACCAAAATCCCTTATCTATAAATCGGCTTTTCAGTAGATCTGGCAGTATTTCTAAGCAATCCATCAATGTTCTCCAAGATTCTGTTATACTTTTTGTCCGTCAGCTATCCTCGCTGTTGTAGTCGAATTCACAAAGCAAGCAATGTGGCAAGACCGGGGGTTGCGGACCATCTGTCCGCTTCTGGCTTAGTCTCCATCCGTTGCACTAACCTTAATTTTCCTAGCGGACACTAAGCCTTGTTTGGGAATGCCATGGCATTGGCTGGGGGGTTCGCACCAGTACGATAAAAGTTAGACCGTAGATCAGGGTCTGTCGTGGCACGGTTGTCCCTGCGTGGTGGCCTCATAAACACATATCTGATGAGCTTCATGCCATCAAGGGATGAGTAACAGTTGTACTTAATCATAATCATACTATAAAACAACATCTTATTCTACAGAGACATTGTTGGTAGATTAATACATATAACAACTGACAATTACTGACTGACCGAAACAAATATAACCGCGTAACATGGTCAAAGATCGCGTATACTCCACATCTGCCACCAAATGTACAACACGACTCACATAAACACCCAAAGACAATCGCCAGGGACAACAGCTACATTATTAAGCTGAATTAATCATCAAGATCACCTTCTGGAAGATGCTGCGTGCAAAACTACTGTCCGAATTCAGCTTAGCCTCCGCTCAGAACAAGCGTGGGCGGAATCTAAACCCTTTTCGGATGATTTTGTAGACTGCCCCGTTTGTTCATCAGCTTGGCTCTGCTCGATTCCATGGACAGAATACCCGGGGAAAAAGGTATATAAGTACAGACAGACATGGCATCCTCAAATCCATCATTCAAGCTAGCACTTTTCTTCTATCCTCCACTTGAGATCTCACCCCAACGTCTCTACCTTGACTACTTCTCTCCACTCTCAATACCTTCTCACATCGCACACAATGGCTCCTCAACTCGCCTGGCTGGGCCTTGGTAACATGGGCCGCGTACGCTCTCCCCGTCCCCAAAAACTTACCAACAGTCCACAACCTCTAACCTCAAAAACAGGGCATAGCCAAAAACCTCGCTGCCAAAGGCTCCCTCGCCACCCCCCTAATCATCTACAACCGCAACATCACCCGCGCCCAAGAATTCCAAGCCGCGACTCCCAACACCACCATCGCCAACACCGTCTCCGAAGCCGTCACCAAGTCCGATATCATCTTCACCTGTGTCGGCGACGACGCCGCCATCCAATCCATCATCGACGCCAGCATCGCCAGCGGCTCCCCTCTCACCGACAAGCTCTTCGTCGACTGCTCCACCGTCCACCCTGACACTACAACCTCCATCTCCGAGAAGCTTCAAGCCAAGGGTGCTCGCTTCGTCGCCAGTCCCGTCTTCGGTGCCCCTCCCATGGCCGCCGCCGGCCAAGTTATCCCCGTCCTGGCGGGTCCCCGCGTAGCCGTCGAGCAGGTCAAGCCCTACACGACTGGGGTTATTGCCAAGGCGGTTGTGGATTTCAGTGATCAGCCTCCGGCTAAGGCATCGCAGTTGAAGATTCTTGGTAACACCTTTGTGTTGGGTATGGTCGAGAGTATTGCGGAGGGATTGGTGGTTGCGGATAAGTGTGGACTGGGCACGGATGCTCTGCATCAGTTCTTTGAGGCTGTGTTCCCCGGCCCCTATGTGGCTTACTCGGCTAGGATGAGGTCCGGTGATTATCATGAGCGGAAGGAGCCGTTGTTTGCGGTTGATCTGGCTCGGAAGGATGCTCGTCATGCGATGGATTTGGCGGGTAAGGTGGGCGCCAGGATGAAGGGAGTTGAGTTGGCCGATGACTACATGGCGAAGGTGAAGGAGCATATGGGTGAGAGGGGAGATGTTGCGGGTATGTATGGCGCTGTGCGCCAGGAGGCGGGATTGAAGTTCGAGAATGCTCAGTAGGTTGATGTTGAGCCACCTCTTCTGCCTACGGGACCTTACATCTTATCTACCTACCAACCAACCATCGTCTTAAGATCTAGACCATATACATATACTTGAATCCATTTCTGCCCTGTTTCTTGAGCGTTAATGTGGTTTGACGAGCTAGCTGAATTGAGCAGGTCACCTTTGTCTTCTCACCTTTCATCACCACATTGTAGAATTCCATCAATTTGACAAATCCAAGTCATTTAAAGTGCTCCCCGTATTCTGCTACCCATTATCCACATATACCTCCTACTCTCTTACGAATGGCCCGCAGAAAAGCCAATGAAGGTGCCAGTCTTATTAGAATATTCATACGATGAAGAGTTCCCTCCCTTCTGAGTTCCGAAGAAGCTGTAAATAATGCCCATTGCTTGTGTCGAAACACGAAGAAGGGAAATATTAATGTGGATCAGAACGTAGCAACAAGACATCCTCAATCACTCATGAGATCAATATTACCAGGCAAGAAATTTCCAGGAAGGGGGCGAGACTCAGTGAACTACAAGCCGAACTGAGAAATAGAGCATCTGTAAGTGTATAAAGCTTTCTGCTTATGATCATTTTAACTAATGATAAATGTGGTGAAACGATAGACGCCGGTAGAGGACCAACATAACACGACTATCGCTTTATATATCGGAAACGTTGGGCTATAGTTGAATATAGATTATTATCCATAAGTCTGGGAGGGAGAATACTTGAGTCTTTTAGTATATGTTTCAACAACAATTATTCTAGTAGTGTTTTATTGGTTGTGATGCTGTGTAGAGAAAATGAGGACGAGAGACACTGTAAAACAGAAGGCCAGCGTTCGGAGTAGCGGAAATGCTCGTAGATATAACCCTGAAATGCTCCATAACAACTAACACAGGTCTATTAATTGATTTATTGACCACCAGAATGATAAAAATAAAAGAGAAAAGAAAAACATACAACAGAAGGGATTCGCTGGTGGTCACCCACCCAACTACTAACCTCCCGGCGTGTGGCTTAAGTACGGCTGAGCGGACGGGAAGCCCTGTTTTCCACACCCTGTGGTCGTATGTACTTATTACTAGTCATGTCTGGGTTATATTCTGCTTAAAAATATTACAGAAGAAGAATGTTCTTGGCCACCGAGCGGCGCCCCAGATGGTCTGTCGCTGCTTCCTGGTATCTCATTTTTACTATTATTGTTGACATCGATCGACTCAACACTAAATCTACGTTGTTCGTAACGTTCAATACATCACGCTTTCTTAAGCTTTATGCCTTCATGGGCTCATCCTAGACCCTGGGGCTCGCTGGACGCAGTAGCTACATAGATTCTCCTCACTGACTACCCCGAACCAATATATTTTATATTATAAGGCGGACAATATTAACAGAAAGATTCAGGCTTTTGGGGTAGCATTTGGCATTCATACTTTTTCTATGGCTTCAAATCAATTGCTGACTGGTTCACAACCGGACCCGACGAGACAAATTGCCTCCCGTATATCGGCACTGCTCGTTGCGTTCGGATCAGCCGGATATATTTATTACCTCGCGGCATCTCAACTTCCTGGGCCGCTGAGCCCGACATATCAATTTCTGTTCTTGGTTAGACAGGCGTTCAAAGTTTCGTTTTGCAGCTTCTGGCTTTGCTGTACTCGTCGTTCCTTTGTGAGGATCTTATTCTGGCGGGATTTTGGGAGCATGGAGTGGCAGGCTAGAGTTGTGAACTGGGATAAGAAAATCCTTCAACGGCTACTAAGGATGCGCCAAAGGACCCTCGCCCCAACGAGACAAAGGTAGATGCCCCGCATAGCCTACGGAGTTGGATACAACCAAGTGGATTTATTACCTTTGTTATCATATGATAATCATAAATAACAGTCCCTCTGGCTCTCTTCTCAATGTCAATCCCATTCAAGCCAAGGCTAATCGTCACTACGGCCCGTTTTGAGAACATACACACACAAGATGATGTATGAACGGCAAATCGCACCACATTCACAATATAGAAATTCCACCACCCACCTATTGCGAGCGAGAATTTACATAAAATGTGAGTGATACATACTATAAGATACATGTCATCTTTGATATATAGTATTTCCTCCATACATCATTCCCTCTCTTTCAATCAGTGACGAATTGTATTGGAGATGGCTGGCCTATGACCTGGAAACGAGAGCAAATATTGGAAAGAATGATTGGATAACACTGTCCGGTGGGGTGTATTTCCTGGTTCAGACTATGACTCTGGGACTATCATCGTTGTTGTACAAAGGCCAATCCAATCAAATGTCACAATCTGCCGTAGAGACGACGGACCTAGCATCAGTATAGGCGATTGTGGGCAGATTATTTCCTTCGTTATATCCTGGAAAACGAATTCCTAGGTACTACGTCTACGAAATCTAGTAAGATATCGTCCCTGAAATTTGCCATCCTAGGCACCGTTAGCAACCCTCCCTCTGGCAGCGGGGAGGTAATTTTGTGGTTCAAAAACACTATCACATATGTCATCAGAGTTAGTAAAGTTAGTAATCGTCAACAGCCGCAATGTGGCATATACGGTCAACATACTGCGATGTCTTGGTAGAAGGCGGTCCAAGGGATATCCTGGGCGCAATTCTAATTGATCGATCCATTCGGTGAAGCTTACACTCGTATTGATCTTGTAGACATAGCAGTCGTGGGAGTACAAATCGCGCAAACCTATCGCGCTTTCCAAAGGACCCATTATGGAAAACCTACGCTGGCGATATGCAACCCACCGCATACGGAAGAAGCCAATAGTGGGAATGGTGTCGCGCAAAGTATTCAAGAAGCGGCGCCAGAGAGTGGACATGGCCTCGCGTAGCTCTGGTGAAGGATCCATCCCTACGGGGATGGGGTCATCAAAGCTGACTGCGATCAGGGTCAGAACCTGCAGGGTAGGGGCAGCCGTGCGCAAAAAGAGTTGGAAGCTGGGCTGACTGGGCTCGACCCAGCGAAGATGGAGCTCCGAGAAGCAGGCGAAACGGACTTGTTGGGCCAGGCTAGTAAACTGATTCGAGCTTAAATTATAGAATTGATCCCACAGACCAAGCCGGAGGATGTGAAGATTCGGAGCAGCCCGGATAACGAGACAAGGAAGAGACTGTTGTAGCATTTTAATTTGAGGGTCCGAGACGAAGTTCCAGGTCTCCTAGCTCGGGAAGAAGGAATTGCAGGATCTCGACTCTAGAAACTGCAATTGTTCCTTAATCCAAAGCCCGATTCTGGATTTATTCGGGACAGCGATGCTTACCTAGGCACCCATCCTGGGTAAGGTCACTAGCATGATTAGCCGTAGGATTCATCTCTATGCAAATGAGTCACTCACGCATCCGTGCAGCTACTGGTGCTATATGGCGCCGAGCACGTGCATATGCTGCGAGACACAGCCTTCACGCACGTCAGTGGGGATATTGAGCCTATATTTTAATCGAACGGTCAGAGTGCGCATTTGTCTGTCCCAATCACCCAGTCGAGGACGGCCAAAATAAATTCACAAATAGAGCGGCTCAGTGTGTATGCAGCCTCGAAAGGGCAATCACTAAGTGAACACAGTATTTCTCGAGCAGTCGTGGATTTTTGTAAGGCATATTGAGCGCTTTCGGTCGGGTATTTCTCCAACTATCGTTGATGAAGGCTTGTAAAGGGTGGTATGGAACCCCAAAATAACAAGGATATCGCTCTCAGCTAGGAATGAAGCCTGAAAAATGTGATAGAGATTTTGATGTATTGGCGATACTCCAAATCTTGCCTTCGCAAGACTGAGAGAATCCCACGAAGACCAGGTAGGCTAGCTCGCTCTTTCATCTTACAAATGGGGCGTCGACTTTTCGACTGGATCGGGTAAGGAACATCATCAGCTTCTAGCATTAATGCAAGACTTCTTGCTTTTCAGTTCAGCTTATGTAACTAGAAGCCTGATTTCCCGTGATTCACTCGTATCCTCTAGCCGCCCGTTTCGTGTGTTCTCCTCCAGGCAATAACCTTCTTCTACCATACCGTCATCCTCAGCCTTTCTACTAACTTTGCCAACCTTCTCCATCAAAGATAACACACAATGATTCGCTGGCATGATCCGAGCTGCAGACGGCCAGCTGTCAGTGTGGCAAGTGGTATTCCATGCTGCAATTACTGCTTTGCCATTGCAATCGTCGAGCAAGAAACAATAGTCACAGATTCATCGGTGCCGCTAAACAAATCCTCTAATAGTTCTCCCTGGCCATCATGCCTCATTTCAGGTAGCCAAACTATATCAAAGAGAAGCACACAACATGGAGAAAGCGAATTTCGAACAGACTCTCAAGAGAGCTTATTCCCAACACTGCCCTCCGAAGATCACATACGGCTTGTCAGATTAGACGCTGGTCGTATCGATGGCCTGCTTCATGTTGACCTGGAAGTGGTGCACATTTACAATCAACCGGCTCAGTCATTTGAAATCTTGTCATATACCTCTGCGAATGAAAGCGAAGGCTCTGACAGTTCCCATATTGTCTTTGTAGGCAAGTACTGGGACATTGTTTACGTGTCATACAACTGTCAACAGGCGCTTCGCTTTTGTCGGAACCAGGATTTTGACCGACTCTTATGGGTGGACTTATTATGCATTGATCAGGCAAACCTCAAAGAAAAAAGTCAGCAAACCTCCTTGAGAAGAGAACTTTGCCTGAAGGCATCTAAAGTTGTCGCCTACTTGGGAGAAGAAACTTCCGACGGTAGAGAAGCTTTGGAATTTCTCAAGAGCATGGCTATAACTGTCCAAGAAATGAGAACTGGCCATGAGCATATCAACGAAGTTAATCGAAGAGCTTTGAAAATCCTTCTAGAAAGACCATTGTTCACCCGATTATGGTTTCTTGTTGAAGTATTATTAGCTCGGAACCTTGAGTTAGTTTGCGGTGCACAGTCAGCTCCATGGCCTAAGGCGCCTTTTGCGCTGGCCCATGAAGATGTTCCTATACCTGACTGGTTGTTCAAGGGAGAAAAGTGGTACGGGCTTACTGATCGTGATCTCTTACCCATACTATCCCAGACATCATCTTACAAATGTTCCGATCCGCGGGACAAGGTGTTCGCGGTGCTTAGCTTGATATCCCAGAGTGAACTTGACCCCGACTACACTGTTTCCGTTGAAAGGATATACACCGGTCTAGCTGCGTACCTTATCGCAGTTTGCAGTTCGATGGATGTTCTCGAATTCGCTGGTTTAACTGTGAAAACATTCGACGTCCCCTGCTGGGTCCCAGACTGGTCCCAAGCATTATCCACGTTCAGTCAAATCCTTTCTGCAAGCGATCAAGACCTCAATCGGAAACGTAACAAACTCCCAGGCGCACGTCATGTGCTATTTCATGATTATCTTGCCTTCAAATGTGAAAGTCATCTGAGCGTGGCCACGCCAATCCTGCGCACTTGCTCTATCAAGATCTGCGGGTTACAGGGCAGCATCAAACGGAATCGAGGTTATGAAGAAGGGCCCGATAGCTTGTTTCTTCTGGGTGGGTGCAAAAGCCCTGTCATTCTCAGAGAAGGCTCTGCTCCTGGCTCTTATCTCCTCGTATCGGCCTGCGCCCTTTCGCTCGGACGACCTCCCTCCAATTGGCTGCTCCCTTGGGCCAGTAGTAGGGTGACTCAACAGATCAGCATCTTAAGACTATCCTCTGAAGAGAAGAGCTTGATTCGTGAGGTTCATCTGGTTATAGAGCAAACTAGACGGCAATCTGTCGCCTTAGATGATACAATTCCTGTGCCCTTCTCCAGTGCCAGAGACAAGGTCTTCAGCTTCTCTTTATGCTTATTCACGGGATTACCAGAGCTCGACAGGCAGTTATGGCGCACATGGGAAAAATTTAACAGTGAACTTGGTTGGATGTTCCGTGACCAACAAGCAACATGGCTGCTTCTTCAATTGCTCAATAACTTGGATGCTGCCGAAATACAAGGGCAAGGCCAAATCAAAATAGACAGGTGTTATGAGGTCCTCGCGTTGAAATATTCCGGGGTGGAATATCCTTCAACATATACATGGGATCTGAGTCGATTTGTCTGGTCGTTTTTAAAGCGCCTGGACCCGGAGCAAGCGACCCAGAAACCACAATGCACTCCAACTCCAATCCTAAAGATTATGATGAAATCTCTTCTCCAAATTCAACAATGGGCAGCAACAACGGAACAGTTACTGAAGATATCTGAATATACTCAGACTGTGCTCGGCTCCTGCTGGGAATCATTCCCTGGTAGCCACCTGCCTCAGAAGTGGGTTGGTAACTACGAGAACTTCAACAAGGCCGTTGGGACGGATCTACATCAAAACATAACGGACTTAAGACCATCATTAGATTTATCCTGTCACTGGGACATACAAGAGTTCGAAGACAATGCCAGAGCCAGAGATCGTTTATGGGATGTCGAATTACCTCCCGAACTAGAACCCACAATCGATAATAACATAGCGGTGCATGCAGGCTTCAGGTCCTTAGGACTCAAACTATATGACGAGCGGATAATCGATATCGTGTGAGAGACCCGTTGACCTTGTTCTAATACTTCTCCCCAAATTAAATTTCCGCGTCTTTGTCGATATCACTAAGTTCCTATGACTTATTTCCTTCTCATAATGGTGGCTCGTCTGTCACTCTTGATTTATTAATTCATTCTGCTGTCAATAACCGCTTTACTAGCTATAGGTTCAGTCAACTTAGCTAGAACACAGAGACAGATGAATGGCTAAACAAGACCAAAAGACCAATGTTGGTCTGACCAACACGCATCATGTTTCCTTTTTCTTCCTCCCCCCCCCTCTTTTTTTTTTTTTTTTTTTTTTTTTTTTTTTTTT